CCTGTGGGCACCGGGTGTTCCTGGACTTGAGGCCACAACCGCGTGTCCACGGATGCGGGGGCCCAGAAGGAGGCGCCTGGAGGAGACTGCGATGCTGCTCACATTTTATTGTTTTCCACGCGTCCCCGCCGACCTAGCCCTACTTGCAGGAGGAGAAGGTCTTCCAGAAGAAAGTACGGCAGGGCGCAGGCCGGGGCGGCGGCACGGGAGGGCGTGTCCTCCGCTGGGACACGGCCCCCGCATCGGTCCCGCCCCGGGCCTGGGAGGTCCACTCGTACCACCGGGCGAGGAAGGTCTGGGGCCCGCTGGGCTGCGTTTCCATGCCTTCCTGCGCAGGAGAAGCAGAGGACAGAGAGAGAGAGACATCAGGAGCCCGCCCGGACAGAGCCCTGCCTTTTCTTTCTTAAGCCTGCATAGACCCGCCCTGCTGGATCCACGTGACCTGCAGGATGGGTCCCCAAGGGGGGAAAGGCAACAGCTGGCCATTTCCTTCAAGGGGAAACTCTGTGAGACCCGTGCTCGGGTGGGTTGGGTGGGGTCAGGAGATCCACCACTGTCCCTCTAGAACTGAGCTGGGCAGGTGCACCAGCCGCGCCCAGGACACCCATGGATGGAGGGGATGGCCCCATTGGCATCTGCCCTTCCAGGTGCCAGAGGAAATCTGCCCAGAACAACCTGCTGATGAATGACACGTCTCAGACTCATCCTGCAGTTTTGGAGAAAACTCCATTTTTAATGGTCAACTTTATGTACTCTTTCTTGGAACTTTTAAAAAATGGGGGGTGGGAGGAAGAAATAAATGATGTGAATTCTCATCATGAACACTGTTCCTCTGAGCCCGTGAGAGCCACACACCACACAGGTTATAAATTAAGACTCTGGCAGGCAGCATGGTGCGGCCAATGCTGGCGGCAGCTCCGTGGCTGCACCCCATCATAGCCAGGGAGGTCGTTTAGGGTCTCCCAGGCTGGCAGGTGCAGTAACCCTGTGGGGAGGTGGCCCATGACTACAGAGGCTTATGTCATTGAGTGGTCCCCACTGAGGCTACACGGCCATCACTTGTCAGTCAGGGACACCCCAGAACACAACTGAGTCCAGCCCACTAGTCTGTTCTGTTTGTGAACACACACACACACACACACACAGCCTCACGGATGCTGGGGAGTTTGCAGGGAAGACGACAGAGAGCAGGCCAGCCTCTGGCTGGGTCGGGGCTGTACTCACCCCACTCTCCTTGCCAGCGGTGCCACTCTCCTGAGCAAGGGTGGCTGTAGCCATGGCCGTGGCTGCCGCCCCCGAGAGCAGCAGCAGCAGCAGCAGCAGAGGCAAGTTTGCAGTCGGCATTCGGCAGGCAGGTGGACACTTCACTCCGGCTTAGTTGCGGCAGGTCCTTCACTGCGCGGGCGGCGAGGCGCTTCTGGATGTGGGTCTCCTGGGTATTTTAAGTTCGGGCGCCAGCTGCTGCTTGCGTCTCTGTGTCTCCCACCTGTGTCCTCTCCCCTCCCAGTTGTATAGTGACGCACGAGCCGGAGCAATCAGGGCCCCCAGAAGTGTGCCGGGATTGGATTTAGCCCCTTAATTGGCACCTCCTCGGGTCTGTTCCTGCCCTGCGAGTGAATCCGCTCTGATTGGGAACGCACGTGTGCTTGTCTCCCTTCCTCATCAGGCCCCATGCGTAAGCAGGAAGCCACAGGACAAAGCAGGCGATTTCACCAAGTACAGAATGAGTCCTGGACGAGGGGCTGCAAATGGGAGATCCTGCCGCGACAAGGAGGGAAGGAACCTGCCATGTACCCAGGAAGCAAGGGGTGCTGAGGGCTCCAGCATTCAGAGGGAGCATTCATGCAGTCACCTGTTGGCAAGGACGCTGGCCCAGCCCACTGTCCCCTGGCTTCTCGGGCTGTGAAGTGTCCCCGGGTCACCCTGAGTGCAGGCTCAGGATACAGCAGGTATGGGGGAGGCTGATCAGCTCCCAGACCACAGGCTCTGGTGCCCCCATGCTGCTGCTGACCGGCGTCTCGAGGGTCGCAGGGCAGTGATTTTTAATGTTCAGATAAAATAAATTCATGTATTGGACCAGCGTTGTGGCATGGTGCCCTGGGACGCTGACATCCCATTGGAGTGCCAGGTGAAGTCCTGGCTGCCATACTCGCTCTCAGCTCCCCGCTAATGCACCTGGCGAAGCAGCGAAGGATGGTCCAAGTGCCTGGGTTCCTGCGCTCTGTTGGAACCCCAGAAGAAGCTCCTGGCTTTGGCCTGGTCCAGCCCTGGCCGCTGCATCCATCTAGAGAATGAATCAGCAGGCGGAAGACTTCTACCTCTCCCTTTCTGTTTTGTAACTTTGCCTTTCAAATTAATATAATTAAAAAAAAGAAAGAAAAAGCAAGGGAACTTGTGTGTCACGTGCAGTGATCACATCGTGTGGAGTTTCCGGGTGTCCAGGTGTCCGGGGTGAGATGCCTTCCCGCAGAGGAAATGCTCTCCCTCCCAAGCCATCCTCGGCCAGCTCCCAGGATGCTCCTCTCCCCTCTGCCGGACATGTCCAACGTGGAGTCCTGCCCCAAGCCACCTCCTGGCCTTCTCTGCAGGGCCTGGCCCTATTCCCACAAACGCATGCCCCTTCCCCCAGGGGACAGGGCAGTAGGGTCTAAACTGTCCACCTTAACCCATTGAAGACAACCCCAACTGAGAAATAATTGGTCCAGAAGCCAATGTGGCTGATTTCAGTTCCCTCTAGCTCTAAGCCACCTGCTTCCCTCGCTGGCCGATCTCAGCCCTGCATGCCATCTCCTCGGGCTTTGCTCACATAATGTTCCAGGTGAGCTTGCCCTGGTCCTTTCTGTATCAAAATCAACTGTGAAGATTTTTTGGGGGCTAAGATAATTTCCACAGGGTCTGGTGCAGCAGCCTAGCGGGCTGCAATGCTTGTCTTGCATGCCTCAGGATCCTATATGGATGCCGGTTTGCATCCTGGCTGCTCTACTTCCCATCCAGTTCCCTGCTTGTGGCCTGGGAAAGCAGTCTAGGATGGTCCAAAGCCTTGGAACCCCGCACTCATGTTGGAGACCTGGAAGAGACTCCAGGCTCCTGGCTTTGGATTGGCTCAGCTCCAGCTGTTGCGGCTGTTTGGGAAGTGAATCAGCCGATGGAAGATCTTGCTCTCTGTCTCTCCTCCTTTCTGTATATTTGACTCTCCAATTAAAAAAAAAAAAAATAGCTCCCACAAATGCCATGAATATCACTTGAGGTCTTCTTACTCTCGAGCCATGCTGGGCGCTTCAGCCAGTTTCTTAAACCCGTAGTGCCAAGTACAGGCTTTATTAGATGGATGCGTACCCAGAAGGTGCCCAGAGTTTGCACATCACGAAGAACCCACACTGTGCACACCCTGACAGCTGGTACAGAATGCAAATGCCAGGCCCAAGCCACACGCAGCCCAAGTGAAAGGCAAGAGGACTTGTGGTGACAGGACTGAGCCTGTAGCCTGGGGAGGACGCTGTGACAGCTCAGTAGCTGCCGAGGAGGTGGGGGCCCAGCACAGACCCTCAGGGGGGACAGGCTCTTGGCTAGAACCTAGGGCAGCCACCATGACACAGCAGGTGACTCGGACACCCACAGCTCATGCTAGTGCCAGGGTCGATCCCTGCCTCTGCTTGTGATGCAGCTTCCTGGAGATAGCAGATGCTGCTCTAAAACTTATACCCCCTGGCGCCCCCACAGGAGACCCCCTGGCTTCAGCCTGGCCCAGCCTCGGCTGCTGTGGACATTCAAGGCATGAATCAGTGGAGGAGAGATCACATTCGGACCCTCTGTGTATTTCTCTACCTTCCCAATAAAATACACCTCCAGAGCAGCCAACTGGGGTGCAGAGCTAGACCTGTCGACCTTGGGGTGTACACGGCTTGATTCCCTCAGTGCTTCCCAATGAAGAAGCCATCGACATGGAAGGCCTTGGCTGGAGACCCCAGGAGGATGGGGGCCTTGGCTGAGGACCCCAGGAGGATGGGGCACTTGGCTGAGGACCCCAGGGGGATGGGAGACTTGGTTGGAGACACTAGGGGATGAGGGCCTTGGCTGGAGACCCCAGGAGGATGGGGGCCTTGGCTGGAGACCCCAGGAGGATGGGGGCCTTGGCTGAGGACTCCAGGAGGATGGGGGCCTTGGCTGGAGACCCCAGGAGGATGGGGGCCTTGGCTGAGAACCCCAGGGAGATGGGGGACTTGGCCGGAGACTCCAGGACAACTGGGGAGCCTTGGCTGGAGACCAGAGCGGCAAGGGGGGGCCTTGAGACTCATACCTCCCTCTGAGGTGACATATATGGGACCCAGTGACAAGTGGCTGAGTCTGGGCCATGATGTTTGAGTTCAGGGTTGACTCTAACCATGCTGAGCATCTCCCTGCCGGAGTCAGGTTGTGGGGTCTTCTGCACAGATGTCAGAAATTCTACTCATAACTCATGCCGTTCTCTCCTGCCCACTCTGCAGTCGGTGCTCCCAATGTGAATTCCATCCCTGCCCATCATCACAGCCTGAGCTCCCGGGCCGTGAGATAACCTTCCTGAAGTTTCTGCTTGCTCATCGGTCACGCGGGCACAGGTGCTTTCCCTTGCAAACTGCAGAACGTGGGAGACGAACAACACAGCACACGGCACAGGGCCCGACTCTGCGCCAGCCAGCCCTGTGCCCTCAAAGGCAATGGCTTCCAAGAAACTGCACCAACACGAGAAGTGAGGCCCTCGCAGGCCTCGCTCCATGGACAGCAGCGGGAGGAGCAGGCCGGGGACTGGGGGTAGTAAGCAGATGCCGGGGTCTGGGGGAGTAAGGAGATGCCAGGGTCTGGGGGTTAGGAGTAGTAAGCGGCGTGACTCCCTCCAACAGGCCTTGCCCAAGAGAAGCAGCAAACTGTTTCTGGAGCAAACGGCCTTGAGATGGCCCAGAGGAGCGTTGCCAGAACCCCGCCACCCGCTGCTCACAGGCGGCGCCAGCTCACAGACATTCCCGAGAGAAGAGCTAGGAAGGCTTTATTCAGCTTCCAGAGACCGACTTGAGCCTGGAAAGCCGAGTCAGGGAATGAAGAAGGGCCGATGTTTGCCCTTGAAGGGGCGGGCCACGTCGAGCAGTGGACACAGCTTCCCCGTGCACCACTGCAGCACAGCCTCTTCTCCTTGAGTCCGTGTTGGCGTGGGGCGCTCCAGGCCTCTCACAGTGCCGCAGCACCCCGTCCGGGATTAGAGCTGTCTGCCTTCTCCCAGCCTGGAGGCAGCCAGCAGCCCGGCCGCAGCACCCCGTCCAGGATCAGAGCCGCCCGCCTTCTCCCAGCCCGGTGGCAGCCAGCAGCCGCCGCAGCTGCTTCCGGCCGCTCCCCCACAGCTCTGGGCGTCAGCTCTCACTCTCCTCCACTCCTGCCGCCTCGGAAACTCTACTGCCAGCCTCCGGCTTCTTTTTCTTCTTTGCCTTTTGTTCCAGGTTAAACTGAGCAATTTCGTCACTTTTCTCAGTGATGTATTTTAGCTACCAATAAAAGAGAAAAAGCAAAATTGACTAGAAACCTATGTTTACATTAAAAACAATAACAAGAACGAGAGAATAACTGTATGTTCCCAGTCACCCCCGCCCCCCATGAGTCTGAGTAGAAAAGCCTGGGTGGGTCATAGTGCTAAAAATTAAACAGTTGCAAAAAAAATTTTTTTTCTGGGATAAAGGAATCAACTACAATCATCGACTTTCCCAGCATACACTTTAAGCAGTGAGTGTGTAGCTTGGTCCTTGTGGAAGGCCTGCCAATCAGAGCGTAACCCACATCTGCCCGTAGGCTTCAGTGGATGAGCTGAAAGCCCACCGGGTCGCTGCTCTGCAGCAGGGACAGACCACAGGAGAAGCAGGATGCCACTGCCCTCACGGAGGACGGGCGTCAAGGGCACAGCACAGGCCGAGCGGTAGGCACTCCTCGGCAAGGAAGTCATTTGGGAAAGAAATAAAAACTAAGAACCCAAAACAGAAACCATTTTCTGACGTCAACACACACGCAGCAAGGAGATGACTGTCCACCTGACAGCTGAGCCAGTCACGCCTTCCGGAAAGTCAGCAACTGTCCCTGGCAGGGCGAGTACCAACCACGGCACTGCTGGGGAGCGGGCGGGGGCGCCCCACGGACAGAGCCCACCAAGAGAACCTCGCGGCGGCCTCGAGCCTGACCTGACTCCGCAGGAGAGGAGGGTAAGACGGAAGGAGCGCGAGGCACATGGCCCTGGGGCCACAGGGACCAGGTGAAGTGCAGGGGCAGACGCTGGGACAGCAGGCCAAGCTCTGCGGACAGGGTCCGAGTCCCGCTTCCGTTCACGTGCAGGCTGGGAGCCCAGGCGCTCGGGGGTCCCTGCACCCACAGGAGACCGAGCAGTGATCTCTCAGCTTCTGACGTCAGCCTGGCCCAGCCTGCGCCCCTGGGGCCTTTGGGAAGTGAAGCAGCAGACGAGAGATCTCCCTCTGTGTGTCTGCCATTCAAATAAATAACATAAAAGAAGAAGAGAGGAAGGGGGGAGGAGTGATGATCAGACGCAGCCATCCACTAGATAGCTCCGTGGTCGACCTGGGAAGCGGGCACCTCTAGAGGGCGGTAGTGAGAGCCAAAGTACCTAAAGTAGCTGGAAAAGTTTCCTCGGTGCACCAATCACCTGAAGTGCTATGTAAACTCAACTTCTTAAAAAGCCCACCCTGTGTCCCGGGACCAGACAGAGAGAGAGAGAGAGAGAGAGAGAGAGAGAGAGAGAGGAGCCTGTCCTCTCGCCAGGGAGGGAGGGTTATCAGGTGCCTTAACTGCCAGTATCCGAGGCTGCCAGGGCCCAGGGGATGTGCCCAGGGCACAAGGGACGTGCCCATTTCCCTGACGCTGGGGACATTGACCCCAGCATCTCTGGTGCCTTGGTGTCTTTGGACAACGCGGTGTCACTAAGATTACGTTTAGACTTGGAAAGATGTAAACCCGGACATTTTTTGGCGCTTCCGGACCCCCAGGTTCGTCCCTTCCCTCCCTGGCCCGTCGTGACGGCCATGGCAGCAAAATGAAGCTGTTCCAGTGAACTTGGCCTCTGACTGGTCTCTGCCATCACGTTGTGAATGGAGCACGGGACCAAAGTTGTGAGAGATTACAAAAAAAGCAAATTATGAAATCCACCGAGTGCTGATTAGAAAATTTCAAATTGGCTTAGCAAGATCCATCATGGTGCAAGAGAGACCGTAAATTACAGGCAGGTCTGAAACGGTTCAACCACCTCCAGTGTTTAATGCAAGGTGCCCTGAGGGCTAACTTCACGGTTCCAAGTGATTAATTGGGAATAATGTATTCTGATGGGAGAGGGGAGCGCGGTGGGAAATCCATCTCTCACCAGTGAATTACTCCTCCTGGCTAAGAGCTTCACGTCTTCCGTGTTAATTGTGCTTCTCCTCGCATGTCTGTGGGAAGGGCAGAAACAAGTCACCAGCACGTTTGCTCTTCAAGTTCCCACGGAACATGCAAGTTCATGGCCAGACCTCCACCTGGCAGGGGTCTCTGAGGAGCCCCTCGTTTTAGATTATGGTCATTAAGCTAAATGACACCCAGACGTGGGTTGCCAGCCAAGAAACCAATTAAAGGGAGAGACCAAGAGGAAGCAGCGCCCATCCCTCCCCAGGGCCACCTGCTGGGCCTCAAGAACCAGTGCAGCCAGCCAGGGTGTAAAGACCCCTTCTAGCCTCAGAGCTGGAGCGGCACAGAGAGCCTTCCTAACACGCCATCGCCCACCCAGCCGTTCACACAGAACCAAGAGCAGCCTTCAAACCCGAGCTGCTTCGGACTCCCACTCCCCTGAAGTCTTCCCACCCTTGAGCTGAAAGACGGCTCGAGAGAGCCAGCTCTGTGCAACGATAGCTCTGCTTCCGGCCTTTCAACTTCCACCCAAGTACTAAGACCTTGGTGGGTGAGAACAAGTGTGAAGCTTTGCATCTTTTTTAATAAAAAGATTCTATTTATTTGAAAGAGCAAAGGAGAGAGAAAGCATGCAAAGGAGAGAGAGATCTTCTATCTGCTGGTTCACTTCCCCAAAAAACCACCAACAGCTGCAACTCGGCCAGGCTGAAGCCAGGAGCCAGAAACTCTGCCTGGAGTGCCACTCAGGAGTGTGGGCACAGGGCCCAAGTGCCTGAGCCTGCACCAGTGTCTCCCGGGGTGCTCATCAGGGAGGAGATGGCACCCAAACCCGGGCACTCTGGTGTGGGGTTCCATCTCTTGGCGCCACACACAAGCCCTTTTGTACCTGAATACCTAAAGTGACCCACACATATTGAATCCTACTAAACAGCTGCTGACTCGGAGACCAAAATCACACGGAAATTCCATCATGTGGTTGTTACTCATTTGCATCCTGCTAAATGTGCAAATATCGTGCCAGCTCATTCTGGCGACATTTACTTGTCATAAGAAGCATTGCTAGAGCTGACTTCTAATTACCAACCCAGAAGAACCAGGAGAAAGGCCACGGAGAAAATGCAGAAGGTGACAGGCGGCTGGCACGGCGGCAGCAAAGGATTCAGCCACACTTGAGAGGCCAGTGTCCTGTCATGGGCACCAGGTCAGCGTGCCTTGGATCCAGCTTCCTGCTGACGTCCCCAGCAAGGCAGATGGGGACGGTCCCCCCGCAGAGAGCAGGATGGACGTGCTGGCTTCCATCTGGCACGTTCGGACACTGAACCAACAGGTGGAAGATTTCATTTCTGCCTCCTACCCCGCTCTGCCTTTGGAATAAATGTATATATTTGTACACACACACATACAAGAAAAGGTGACAGGATGGCAGCTACAAAGGACAAGAATCTGTGGCCAGGGACACTATGTGCCCTTTTCAACCCCACCCCAGCTGCTCAGCCTGTGTGACAGCGCTCTGTGAAAAAAGTGTACAAGGCCTTTAAGCCATTTTCCGTGAAACACATTTATTAATAGTCTTCCTACAATACAAGGAATAAAAACAGTGAGCTGTTTATACAGCAAGTTTTGGGGAAGCAACAAACTCAGTCCTCTCTGCCACTCTGCTGGCGCGCAGCCTCACACCTGACTCCTGTTTGATGTGAAAGGCAGAAATGCGGCCAGCACCATGCCTCAACAGGCCAGTCCTCCAGCCTGTGGCACCAGCACCCACATGGGCACAGGCTGCTCCACTTCTGATCCAGCTCTGTTTATGACCTGGGAGAGCAGCAGACGGCTTAAGTCCTTGGGACCCTGTGCCCATGTGGGAGACCTGGAAGAAGCTCCTGGCTCCTGGCTCAGAATCAGCTCAGCTCCCACTGTTGTGGCCATTTGGGAAAAGAACTGGCAGATGGAAGATCTTTCTCTCTCCTTTTCTCTGTAAATCTGCTTTTCCGATAAAAATTTTTTTAATATTTTATTATTTGTTACAATCTAGATTTCCAATAATTTTTTTATACAAACATATATACATTCTATTTTATTTTTCAAGTAAAGAGAGAGAGACAGAATGTTCCCACCCCCTGGTTCCCACCCCAAGTGCCTGCCGAGGCCAGGTGGGCCAGGCTGACGCTGGGAGCCAGGAATCAAGCTGAGTCTCTGACATGGTGACAGGAGTCCAGCACCCTTGCTTCCTGGTATGCCACTGGGCCAGGCAGGGTCAGAGCCAGCATCAGAGCTGGGTATGCCAACGGAGGGCATTGGCCTCTCCACGCCTGGGCTCCATCGCCAGCCCCAACGCCAGGCTTTCCCAGGAACTCTCCTAGCCACAGCAGCTGGTGCGTCCTATGGCAGCCACTGCACATCCACAACACCCCGTCAAGCCTGACTCCAGAAAGCCACTCCAGGGAAAACAAGAAAGCAACCTTGCAGAAAACACCCTCAGTGTTATAGATTCAGGCTTTTACATTAAAAAATTATATATATGCAAGGGAGGCAGAGTCCCCACCCACCAATTCATTCCCCCACCTCCCAGATGCCTGCAAGAGCTGGGAACAGGTCTCTAACTCGGGAGACAGGGAGCCAGTACCCGGGCCTTCACTGCTCCCTCCCCCAGTGTACACTGGCAGGCAGCTGGAGTCAGGAGCTGGGGCTCCAACTGAACCAGGCTCTCCAACGAGTCCTAATCATCAGCCTCATCTTCACTCTAGAGTTCAGGTTTGAAAGAACATTACTGGGTGTGGTGCACTGGCTCAGTGGCTAAAGTCCTCACCTTGCACACGCCAAGATCCCATATAGGTGCCAGTTCTTCTCCTGGCTGCTCCACTTCCCATCCAGCTCACTGCTTGTGGCCTGGTAAAGCAGTCGAGGACGACCCAAAGCCTTGGGACCCTGCACCTGTGTGGGAGACCTAGAAAAATCTCCTGACTCCTGGCTTCACATTGGTTTAGCTCTGGCTGCTTGGGGAGTGAACCAGCAGATGGAAGGCCTTCCTCTTTGTCTCTCCTTTCTGTGTATATATAAAAGTTAAATCTGGTGGTGGGTCTCAGGACGGGGCGTCTCATGCCTGGATCCCGGACGGCCGCCATGTGCACATGGTGAGCCATTCCCGGGTGGCCAGTGCGCCATTGGTGCCAGGCTCCGCCTGCTGGCCGCCCAGCTGGGGAGCTCTGGGAATTTGGTTCTTTGAGTTGCTGCTTAATCAGCTCCAGGTTGAACCCATTGTGCTTCTTGGACCTGAAACAGGCAGTAACTCTTCCTTAGCAAAACTTTTAATCACTAATAATGCTGAGCACCAAATACCAGTCATGCAGAAGCTATGGCTTGGGGCTTGTCCTGCACAAGTAGCTCCAACAGCTGGCCAATGTGTCAACTGGTAATGGAACAGAGTAGATTAGGCACGACTGAGCAAACCTTAGCCCACAAGTAAAACTAGAAACCAGGAGGGAACAGAGGTCATGCCGAGCTAGGCTCTTGTACCTGCTGGTCTGTGGGAGCCTGGGACGCTAAGCCACAGGGTCTAAGGCAGAGTTCGGGACAGGGGAGGGGCTGTGCCAAGCTGAGTCAGAGCATCCATTGGCAGGCAAGTGATCTATGGCTGGGAACAGACCCGGTTGGGGAGCAAAGGGGACAAGCCTAGCTGGGTTGAGGTTCCCACCAAGAGGCGCGTGGCCTGGAAGGGGGGCTGCGTTCTGATCTGGAAACAGTTGTAGTCTCCCTTGGCACAAGTGTGGGCTGGGATTGGATGCACCAAACTGGGCCGGACCCCGACTCCCCCTGGTGTTCTGGAGGACCAGGGCAGATGTGGGATGGACTAGGCAGGGTCTCAAACCCCTACTGAGCCATGTGTGAGCCATACGTGGGTATGGACAAACCATGGCTGGGCTGGAACATCCAACAGCAAGAACCAGATTGGGTGGAAGGCCAGTCAGGAAAAGCCACTGTTCCTGCTATGACAGGAGGTGGACTGAGTAGGATTGGCTCATGGACCCACTGGTAAGCGTGAAACCTGGCATTGGGAGAGGTTCTGATGGAGGAGCCTGGGCAACTCCTCTGGCAGGACACAGACCCAGCAGGTAAACGCAAGAAACATGATAGGAAACAGCCCAGAAAAGGCCATGGAAAACTACCCACTGGCATACAATTGGCAGACGTGGGGGCAAGACCAGGCTGAATCTGTCCACATCATCCACTGGCAAATCCAGGCACCAGTGTGGGTCGACCCAGGGTCGGTCGCAACAAAGACTAGTGCACATTATGGAATGCCGAGGTGAGGTTGCCTGTACCAGAAGGGACCGCAGCGCCCAACCAGCCTGAGAACAAGAAAGGAAGTGGGCAGAGCTGGCAGGGGAATAAGGGAGGGTTCCTTTGCAGGACAGCTACTTCCGCAGGAGAGCATGGGCTGGGATGGGGGCAGACCAGACTAGGCAGAGCTACCACACCTGTGCGCCTCATGTGGACTAGATCAGGGAAAAGCCGGGCTGGGCGGATTATTCCTACTGGTGCAAACAAAATTAAAGTGGGCGAGGGTTGTTTGGGCTTAGACGCAGCATCAACTGGAATCTGGGAGTGGGAGAGGCCTGGGAAGGAAATAGTGGGCTCATCCCTCTTGGGTTACCACTCCCACAGGAGGACATAAAACTAAGACAGCTGCTGGGGTGGAATGGGGTGTGGGACAGACTGGATTACTGCTACACTTACTGGCAAACCAGGGTAGGGACGGGCCTGGTGGGGGTTATTGTGGGTCGCTCCAACCTAGGCTGCAGCTCCCGCTGGTTTATGTGAGGGCCAAGTATGTGCTGGGCAGAACCAGGCTGGACTGCAACACCCATTGGTTCCAGTGGAAGTCGGGAGTGAAAACAGAACCAACCCAGCAACTGCAACCACCAGCTGATTGGAGCGATGGACGGTGCCAGGCCCTGTACTTGTTAGCACATACAAGAAGTTTCTTTGGAGATCTTCCTAATCTAAATGCTGGACTCAGAACCCTAACGAAGCAAAGAGAGAAGACAGAACAGGTCAACCAACCATCTCAGCTATGATGGACTATGTCAATCAGTGGATTTTTCAAAGATCTCATAGTGCTTGGAGTGGCAAGATTGACAGTGATATCAAAACCACTTGAGCAAGAACCTCAGAGCATGCCCTACATCCGGGACCTGGGGAGGATGGGAAATTGCGTGGGCCTTCTCCCTTAAATACCCCTCTTTAAACATGAAGGTAACAATATGGAAAACATACTAGTATTATCCACTTTCCTGTAGCCCTTGAACCTTCTTACCCTAATTAACTATGTAAAGAATGTCAAAATAAAATTTATTAATAAAAAAAAAGTTAAGTCTGCCTTGCCAATAAAAATAAAAGACCATTGCCAAAATGTTCCTAAAACATAACGGCTGTAGAAAATATAACACCTTCCAAATCTTTGATCTTTAATTTATCATTAATAGTAGAGAAAGACTAGAGAGTTCATACGTAAATAAAGGAAAGTTATACTTCAAAATAGGAGGTTGGTTTCAAAGTTTGCAGATGAATTGATGATTTAGATTTGGAATGTGTTTTTACATGGAAAAAATTCTACACATGCTGGTAAGTTCCCAGCCTACAAGGACCACTTAATCCGCAGCTGACCGGAAACGGCCCCTAGCTCAGATTTCTTGAGCCAAGTCCATCACGGTCCAGGGAGGAGGGACCACGTCAGGGGAAAACAGCGCTGCGATGAGGCCAGACTTGCGGGGATAGCTCGGACTGTACCTACTGAGTTTTAAAGTTTTATTGATTTAATTTGAAAGGTAGAGGAATAGAGATTTGCAGAGGCAGAGAGAGAGAGAGAGAGAGAGAGAAAAGATAATTTTCTTTCTATTCATTGCTTGACTGAGAGAGACGCTCCATCCAGTGGTTTATTGCCCTCAACAGTCGGGGCTGGCCAGACTGAAGCCAGGAGCCAGGAGTTCTGTATGAATCACCCACATCAGTGGCAGGGACTCATGCAACCGGACCATCACCGCTGCCTCCCGGGATGTACATGGACAGGAATCCAATATCCAGCAGGCCAGCACCGAGACAGCAATCACACCCACTGGCTGCTCCACTGGCACCCCACATGGGCGGCAGTTCTAGTCCCAGCTGCTCCCCTTCCAACCCAGGCTCCTGCTAAGGTACCTGGGAAAGCAGCAAGAACGGCTCAAGGTTTTGGGCTCCTGGACCCGTGTGTGCGACCAGGCTTCTAGCTTTGGACCAGCTCAGCTCTGGCAATTGTGGCTACTTGGGGAGTAAAGCAGTGGATGGAAGATAGCTCTCCCCCCACATCCTCCTTTTTTAAAGGGGTATTTATAGAGAGAAGGAGAGACAGGGAGAAAGATCTTCCATTTGCTAGTTCACTGCCCAAGTGGCCTGATGCACAGTCAGAGACCAGGAACTTCTTCCGGGCCTCTCACACAGGTGCAGGGTCCCAAGGCTTTGGGCCGTCCTTGACTGCTTTCCCAGGCCACAAGCAGGGAGCTGGATGGGAAGTGGAGCAGCTGGGACACGAGCTGGTGCCCATATGGGATCCTGGCACAAAAAAGCAATCGAACCAGGCCCATCTCTCTTTGTCTCTTTAATTCTTTCATATAAAATAAATAAATCTTAAAAAAAATTTTAAAAACTCTCTTGCGTAAAAGCAAACTGGACTATGATGAAAATGAATGTAGATTTCAGACAAAACAGGGGCCTTCAAAGAAAATCTGCACTTGTTGATTGTGCCAGGACAAGGGGTGTGTGCCCTGCTCCGGTGCCCAGGCTCGGCCCCACCACCCAGCAAGGTGAGGTTCCTGGCTCATGCCTGACTCCAGCCGGCTGCCGTGGCTTTTTAGGGAGTGGAGCAGCAGACGAAGACCGATCCAATTCTTTCTTTGTTCTGAAACTCTACCCTTCAAATAAAATACATAAATCTTTTTTTTTTTTAAGATTTACTTATTTTTATTTGGAAAGGTAGATATACAGAGAGGAGGAGAGACAGAGAGAAAGATCTTCCATCCAAAGGTCAACTCCCCAAGTGGCCGCAATGAACTGAGCCAATCCGAAGCCAGGAGTCAGGAGCTTCTTCGGGGTCTCCCACACGGGTGCAGGGTCCCAAGGCTTTGAACTGTCCTTCACTGCTTTCCCAGGCCACAAGCAGGGAGGTAGGTGGGAAATGGGGTCCTCCCGGATTAGAACCGGGGCCCACATGGGATCCCGGCACATTCAAGGCGAAGACTTTAGCCACTATGCTGTCACACCGGACAAAATACATAAATATTAAAACCTTAAGGTTGGGCCTGGCAACGTGGCCTAGCGGCTAATGTTCTTGCCTTGAATGCATCGGGATCCCATATGGGCGCCGGTTCTAATCCTGGCAGCTCCACTTCCCATCCAGCTCCCTGCTTGTGGCCTGGGAAAGCAGTTGAGGACTGTGGAGAGCAGAGCCGCACCTCAAAGATGGCGCTTGTTGACCATTGTTTCATGGCACAAAGGTGGTAAACAGGTTTTGGGAAGTTAGTGAGGATTGAGCCGAGCACGCAGGGAAGCTACGTGACTTAAGTCATGACTGGTGTGTTTATCGCATGACGTGAGGAGCTGTGTATGGATTGGTTTGTGCAATGTAAAAAAGTTGTGGGTAAAAAAATAGTTAAAAAAGAGATTCCCCCGGGCATGTTTCAAGGTTATGCTGTAATCGCTTCACTGTAATAAATCTTACAACTGCTGCAACTTTTTTCTTTCTTTTCTTTTCTTTGCCACTACGCTTGAAGTCTTGACCAATAAACTTTTAAGAGTCTTTATCGTATCAGGGTTTTGCTCGCGGGACGAGGGGCCCCGATGAGTACGGCCCAAAGCTTTGGGACCCTGCACCCACGTGGGAGACCCGGAAGAGGCTCCTGGCTTCAGATTGGCACAGTACCGGCCATTGTGCTCACTTGGGGAGTGAATCATCAGACGGAAGATCTTCCTCTCTGTCTCTCCTCTCTGTATATCTAACTTTGTAATAAAAATAAATAAATCTTTAGAAAAAACAAAAACACCTTAAGGTTACTAAAGCCCTGAGCAGCAGGCACTGGGTGCAGCAGAATGGTCCTCTGCCTGGGGACCCCCAGTCCTCTCCTGGGGTGCCTGGGATGGCGTCTGCCACAGCTTCCCAACACACGTGGGAGGCTGCAGGCGGTGGTTTCACCCACCCGGCAGGACCCGGCGGGAGCTCTCGCTCGGACCCGACCGGCCCAGCCTTGGCTGGTGGGCACATTTGGGCAGTGAATCCGGATGGAAGGCCTCGGTCTCTCAAGGAAAATTTAAAAACAAAGCTTCAAAAATACAGAAGATCTGACAGCCTGACACGTTGCTGTGCCGTTCCTCCTTTCATTTTAGGATTTTACATATTTCATTGTGGTTTTCCACAGTTAACACAGAAATGGCAAGCCCCCTGGGGCGGTGGCTGGGGCCAAGGCCTGAACACACTGAATCAGCCGGAGGGGCTCTCGGCACGCACTTCTGTCCTCTCCCTCGGTCAGGCTGCCGAGGACAAGCGGGTTTTAGGTACTGATCCACACAGGAACAGCAAAGATTTAGAGCTTGCCCTCAGAGGACCCACAGCTCTAACTCACTCAAGATATCCACCCGGGAAACAGAGCTAACAGGAGCAAGGCAAGACACACCGGCTCCGGGAGAGCCTGGCGCCACGTCAGGAGCCGTGGCCAGCTGGCCCGCGAGGCCCTTTCGGGGCTCTGTCACTCAGACGGCTCCATGAAAGCAATTCAGGTGACTGTTCTCAATGACCTGTGGCGCTCATTGAGGAGGCCAGCCCGAATCCCCTGCAGCGGCTGCCGCGGATCGTGGGCGGCTCCCTCCTGATAAATGCGTGGGCCACGAATGGCATTCCTTGCACTCTCGTTGCCTCCCCCCAGCGGCATCCCCAGGCCCCTCGCCCTGAGACGGTCCCCAAGGCCCCCCGACACTGAGGTGCACACCCACTCCCACGGCTGGCGGCCTCACCCAGCCCTCCTGACCCAGAACTAAAGAACTCGAGTTCTGTAGCGAGAAAACACTTGGAAAAATCGAGAAAACGCAAAGCAATCCTGAACTTGCGTGGTGAAGGCAGACGCTGTGTCCTTGCAGAACCGGGGGCTCCGCAAAGTGGCAGCTACAGTGCCTCAACCCTGCCCCACAGACCCACCACGCTCCCCCTGGGTGCACAGGGCCTGGCAGGGGCGCCACCCACCTGGCAAACATTTCAAGGTCTCTGGCAAAATTTTCTGAAAAAGAAAAGAAAGACACTTTAGCCACCGTTCACCCAGTTTCAAACAGGGGGCCGGCCGAAGGTGGCAGGAGGCACTGCAGGTGGCGTTGGGCGACAGCTTTGGCACTCAGCAGCCCTCCTGCACCCCCCAGCGCCCAGCACCCCGCACCCCTACTCCAGAGCCCGCACCTTCAGATCCTGTAATCTCCTTTAACATCTGCTCTGAGCTAGGGCTGCTGAGGACATCTGTCCCCACGGGTTCAACGGCCAGGCAGTGTGGCACAGGAGACCGGGGCAGATCCCCAAAAGCCAAACCCGTGGGGCCTTCCGGTCATGGGGCAGTGTTAGTGTAAACAGTTACACAGTTCTCCCCCTAAACTGCCCAAACCTTACAGCCAGGACAGCGCCTCATCAACCCTATGGTGAGGACCGTCAGTAGCAGCAGGTCAGACCTGCCCGGGCTCCCAGCCACGCACAGCTCCACGCACCACTCCCACCCCTGGCACGGCAACACACACCCTCACCCACCCGCACGCCAGCTCCCAGCCACGCACACCCTCACCCACCCGCACGCCAGCTCCCAGCCACGCTCACCCTCACCCACCCGCACGCCAGCTCCCAGCCACACACACCCTCACCCACCCCCACGCCAGCTCCCAGGCACGCACACCCTCACCCACCCCCACACCAGCTCCCAGCCACGCACACCCTCACCCACCCTCACGCCAGCCCCCAGCCACGCTCACCCACCCCCACGCCAGCTCCCAGCCACGCTCACCCTCACCCACCCGCACGCCAGCTCCCAGCCACGCACACCCTCACCCACCCGCACGCCAGCCCCCGCCACGCACACCCTCACCCACCCGCACGCCAGCCCCCAGGCACGCACACCCTCACCCACCCGCACGCCAGCCCCCGCCACGCACACCCTCACCCACCCGCACGCCAGCTCCCAGGCACGCACACCCTCACCCACCCGCACGCCAGCCCCCAGGCACGCACACCCTCACCCACCCGCACGCCAGCCCCCGCCACGCACACCCTCACCCACCCGCACGCCAGCCCCCGCCACGCACACCCTCACCCACCCGCACGCCAGCTCCCAGGCACGCACACCCTCACCCACCCGCGCGCCAGCCCCCAGGCACGCACACCCTCACCCACCCTCACGCCAGCCCCCAGGCACGCACACCCTCACCCACCCTCACGCCAGCCCCCAGGCACGCACACCCTCACCCACCCTCACGCCAGCTCCCAGCCACGCACACCCTCACCCACCCGCACACCAGCCCCCAGGCACGCACACCCTCACCCACCCTCACGCCAGCCCCCAGGCACGCTCACCCTCACCCACCCGCACGCCAGCCCCCGCCCCACCCCCAAGCGGAAGAGGACCTACCGCACTGCCGGAAAGTCACCTCCGAAATGGCCGCGATGGTTTGCCTGCTGATGGGCATCGCTTTGTCGTCAGCCACCTCCTGGCACAGCAGGCCGACCGTGTAGTGAACGGCAGCCTTGAGCCTCTGCGGAAGGAACCACACATCCGGCAGGTGAGGGTGAGGCGGCCCTGAGAGCCCTCCACGCTGGGAGCCACGGCCAGGAGACACCCCAGGGTGGCTTCCACCGTGCGAATCGCTGAGTAAGACCCCCTGTGCAGGCCTGGTACGAACACTATTTCCTTGCAGGGTCCGGCACGATAACCTAGTGGCTAAATCCTCACCTTGCCAGGATCCTACAAGGCACTGGTTCATGTCCCGTGCTGGGCTTACTGCCTGTGGCCTGGGACAGCAGTGGAGGACGGCCCAAGGCCTTGGGACCCTGCACCCGCTTGGATGACCCAGAAGAAGCTTCTGGCTACAGATTGGCTCAGCTCTGACTGCTGTAGTCACTTGGGGAGTGAACCAGTGGGTGGAAGATCTTTCTCTCTCCTCTCTAAATCTGCCTTTTTGATAAAAATAAATAAAATGTCACAGAAAGGAGAATCAGAGTGAGGTCTTCTATCTGCTGGTTCACTCTCCAAAAATGCCACAATGGCTGGAGCTCAGTCTGTTGAAGCCAGGAGCCAGGAGCCCCCTCGCAGTCTCCCTTGTGGGTGCAGAGTCCCAAGGCTTTGGGCCGTCCTCCACTGCTTCCCAGGCCACAGGCAGGGAGCTGGATGGGAAGTGGAGCTTCCGGGACACGAACCAGCACCCATATGGGATGTTTGGATTCTAGACAGCAGCCTTACTGCTCCACACTGCAGGCTCCTGAAACATCACTGCTTAGGAAAAGTTTGTGATTTAGGGCATGGAAAGCCGAGGCCCTGCTATCCCACAGCTGTCGGCCAGGGTCATACTGAGTAAGGCAGATGTGGGGAACACGATGAGAAACCAGACAGGGGATACTGCCCTTCACGTTAATACCTTCACGCCAGCCCTCTGTGGCAAGCTCCTGGCAGCCCCGGCCTGCAAGCCCCACACCTTCCTGTCCCCCTCACCCAGTGGGGCTCTCATGCTGCGGGGGCAGTGCCAACATGAAGTGGGGAGCAGCCTCCTCTGGGGACAAAAGCAAAAGCAGCAGCAGGAGCTTGCTCTGCTTCCAGAAGGACTGCAAGTGAGGAAGCCTCGGCTAGGCAGGTGGGTGCTGCCTGGCAAATGGGTGAGGCTGGGCAGGTGGGCGAGGCCAGACAGGAGGGCAAGGCCGGACAGGTGGGCAAGACCCGGCAGGTGGCCTGGCAGGTGGGCGAGGCCAGGCAGGTGGGTGAGGCCAGGTAGGTGGGCAAGACCCGGCAGGTGGCCTGGCAGGTGGGCGAGGCCAGACAGGTGGGCGAGGCTGGGCAGGTGAGTGAGGCCCGGCAGGTGGCCTGACAGATGGGCATGGCCTGGCAGGAGGGCAAGGCCAGGCAGGTGGGTGAGGCCGGGTAGATGGGCAAGGCCCAGCAGGTGGCCTGACAGATGGGCATGGCCGGACAGGTGGGCGAGGCTGGGCAGGTGGCCTGACAGATGGGCATGGCCTGGCAGGTGGGCAAGGCCGGACAGGAGGCCTGACAGATGGGCATGGCCTGGCAGGTGGGCGAGGCCTTAGCTGCCAACATCACAGGACTAGGACACGGAGACCTTTGGTAGGAGGGGCCGCGACCCTTCAACCTGGGAGGAGGAGGGGTCGCACTTGCTAGGCGCAGGTGGGGTCACATGATCTGATCTTTCCAGAGCTCTTTCCAGGGGTCCACAAATTTCCTCCATCCCTGTTCCCTTCCCCGTGACCTCTGGGTTGGGGTAAGTGCCCTTCTTCGGACATCGCTGCACTCAGAGGACAAATCCTGGCCGGGAGGATGCGCTCGTTGGCGCATCATATGGCGGTCTCCTCCATTCAGTGTGGCCGTCAGGCTCTGCTTCTGGCAGCCCATGATACAAACAAAGAGCAAGCCAGCCAAGGCCCTGACGGCTGGGCGAGCCACCCCCACTCCGCCATCACCTGGCAGGGGTTCCTGTGAGACTCGGGGTCCCTAAACCCCGTTCCCGGTATGGACGAGACCCTGCAGGGGGCCGAAGGGAACACCAAGCCACCCACTTTAAACGCCCCGGGAATGCGGGGTATAGTCTTACAAGGCCCCCGTCACCCCGGCAGGAGACCCAGATGGAGTCGTGGGCTCCTGTGCTACCTGCTGGTAGGACAGTCGCTGCTGCTCCTCGGCCGCCGCCTCCTCCATCCCGCGGCCGCGCGCGCCTTTCCCGCCGCCGAGCCGGCCTACGGGGCGCGCGAGGGGACACAGCGCGAAGCTGCTCCCGGCCCGGCCGCGCGCGCCCCCTGCCGGCGGCTGCGGGACGAACAGGCGGTGCGGGGCCAGGCCAGGGCGGGGGTCGCTGCTCAGCCCAGGCCAGGGCGGGGGTCGCTGCTCAGCCCAGGCCAGGGCGGGGGTCGCTGCTCAGCCCAGGCCAGGGCGGGGGTCGCTGCTCAGCCCAGGCCAGGGCGGGGGTCGCTGCTCAGCCCAGGCCAGGGCGAGGGTCGCTGCTCAGCCCAGGCCAGGCCAGGGCGGGGGTCGCTGCTCAGCCCAGGCCAGGGCGGGGGTCGCTGCTCAGCCCAGGCCAGGCCAGGACGGGGGTCGCTGCTCAGCCCAGGCCAGGGCGAGGGTCGCTGCTCAGCCCAGACCCGACTGGGCGACTGGACTCTGCTCAAACAGTGACTGTGACTTACTGAAAGGAAGAGAGAGATCTTGACACCCGCCACAGGGCACTGGACTGGAATCAGGAGTCAGGAACTCTGCTCTGGCTCTCCCGCAGAAGTGGCCGCAGGCTCTGGTGCGATGACTAAATCCTCACCTTGCATGCTCCAGGTTCGTGTCCTGGCTGCTGCACTTCCCATCAGCTCCCCACGCATGGCCTGGGAAGGCAATGGAGGATGGCCCACGGCCTTGGGACCCTGCACCCACGTGAGAGACCCGGAAGAAGCCCCTGGCTTCAGATTGGCTCAGCTGTGGCCATTGTGGCCATCAGGGGACTGAACCAGCAGATGGAAGACCTTTCCCTCTTTCTTTCCTCTCTCTGTAAAATCTGATTCTCAAATAAATAAACCTTAAAAACAAAACCAAAAAACTTTGTTATTGTTGTTCTAAAAGAATCCATCAAGTCTCCTTGGAGACAATCCACTCTCAGCCTGGGGTTGCCAGTCCCTGGCAGGAGCAGGGTCCTCAGTGCCGGGCCTGGCAGGAGCAGGGTCCTGAGTGCCGGGCCTGGCTGCGCTGCAGGGGAGCCAAGCTGCGAGAGATGGGACAGATGGCACAGCTTCAGAGAGCCTCCACCGATGGTTGCCTCTCCTGGGCCCTGGGGAGGACAAGGAGGGCACATCCAGCTCTCACTCTGTCGCTGTTTTAAGGTTTGTTTATTTGTTTTATTTTGAAAGGCAGATATACAAAGAGGAGGAGAGACAGAGGGGAAGATCTTCTGTCCGATGGTTCACTCCCTAAGCAGTCAAAATGGCTGGAGCTGAGCCAATCTGAACCCAGCAACCAGGAGCTTCTTCCGGGCCTCTCACAAGGGTGCAGGGTCCCAAGGCTTTGGGTTGTCCTCGACTGCTTTCCCAGGCCACAAGCAGGAAGCTGGATGGGAAGTGGGGCTAGCAGGATTAGAATCGATGCCCATATGGGATCCTAGTGCATGCAAGACAAGGACTTTAGCCACTACACTATCGCGCCGCGCTTTCTGTCCATGTTTTAGAAGCCCACGGCATGGCACCGTGGTTGAGTCACTGCTTGGGGCACCTGCCTCCCACGTCACAGCGTCCAGCCCTGCCCCTAATCCCAGCTACCCGCTCTAACACCCCTTGGAAAGATGATCGCTCGCATCCTTGGGGCCCTGCCACGCACGTGGGAGACCCAGCCTGTTGTGGGCATTTAGGGAGCAAACCAGCAAAAGGGACAGCCCTGTCTCCCTTCCTCCCACATGAAAAAAGCTCTGTGACTAAAGCTGGGCACAGGGCCGTCCCTGGCGTCCCTAGGGGCACGTGGTCTGCAGGGGACTTGGCAGGCTGGTCAGCTTCCGCCGCCTGGCATCAGGGCGACCACTGATGACCCGTGCCTCCAGCCTCTTCCCTTGTGGGCAAGCTGTGCCTGGGCAGTGCCTTCTGCTTTTCTGTGGCCACTGTCCCTGTAGCTGTGGGGCTGCCTGGGCCTCCGGTGGCAGGCAGGATGTGTGAGGCCAGGCAGAGGTGGCACGGGGCTGTTACTTCATTCTCCAGAGCCAGACGTGGGTTACAGAACTCCTGTCAGCCTGGCGATGCTGGGCAGCCATCTGCAGATGGTACCTTACGGACGGGGTTCCACGAGGTCAGCGCCTCACCCAGGGCTCCAGGGAAAGGGAATCCAGCTTTGCAGACGGTGTCTGTACTCTGGGCCTTGCATGCCTTCTTGTTTTAATGTTTTATTTATTTTCATTTTATTTCAAGGGCAGATAGAGACCTTCCATCTCCCGGTTCACTCCCCACATACCCGCAAGCCCCAAGGCCAAGGCTGACCGAAGCCTGGAGCCGGGAGCACAATCAGGGCTCCTGTCTGGTGGACTCGGGCACGCGAGCCGTCATCTGTGCTTTCCCAGAATGCCATGGGCAAGAAGCTGGGGTGAGGAGCAGAGCAAGGACTCGAACTTGGCACTTGCAGTGTGGGATGCCAGCGTGCCAGGCAGCACCTGAATCACTACACCGGGCACCTGCTCCTTGTCCTGTGGTAAAAAGAGAGGGAAGACCATTCCAGGGTCAGCGCTGGGGCCCTGTGGGCTAAGCTGCTGTCTGCCTTCCTCAGGGTGCCAGTTTGGGTCTTGGCTACTCTGCTTCTGATCCAGCTTCTTGTTCATGCCCCCGGGAAGGCAGCAGCAATGGCCCAAGTGCCCGGGCCTTTCCTACCTCCCGTGGACTCCCTGGCTGCGGTTTATGGCTCTTGGCTCCTGACTCTGGCCCTGTCCAACCCCCCTGTTGCAGCTGTGGGATTTGCTGCATATGTGTGATTTAGCCACTAGATGTCAGCATTGCTCCACCCTGGGAAACAAGGTCCCAGCCAGGCGCCTGGGAGAGCCTGCTTTGCACCTGCCTTGGTTTCAGGTGCTTTTTGTACCTCACCTGCCCTTGAAGGTAGACCCTGCCAGCCTCGTGATGCCTGAGGCAGCAGAGCCTCCAAGCAGAAGGGATTCGGTGGAGGTGAAGCTACTGGCTGGGGTACAGCCCAGTGTGGCTCTGGGCAGGGGGCTCAGAGCACACAGGTCACCCTCTGCCTTCCCCGTAAAGAATAAGGCGTTTGCAGGTGCCCTGAGTCCTTTCAGTCACGTCACACACCCTGCCAGCAGCTCACAGTCATTCCTCCTTAAAATGTAAATGTGTGATACTGAGCTAATTGAAAATCAGCATACCATACGACCCAGCAATAGTGCTCCTAGGAATACATCCAAAACAGCTGTTTTACGAGAAACCAACATGCACCCCTATGTTTATAGCAGCACAATCAGTAATTGCAAAAACCTGGAAGCAACTGAAATGCCCATCAGCAGAAGACTGGATAAGAAAGCTATGGTTCATATACTACATGGAATACTACTCAGCTATCAAAAAAATGAAATGCAGTTCTTTGTGGCCAAATGGGCCCAACTGGAATCCATTATGCTAAGAGAAATGAACCAATCCCAAAAGGTTAAATACTACATGTTTGCCTTAATCTGAGATGAAAAGTTATTAATCTGGAAAATAATACCTGTATATTGTAATATTATTGCAATCTCTGACAACATGTATCCAATGCAATAAGATAATGTGTTGTAACCTATAAAACAACAATTAATGTGAGTCAGAATGCTTCTGATCTACATCAAAGAACTGTAAAACCTAAAACACTCTTAACACCCTATGTTACTCCGTAATGGGGAGGGAATGCAGAGAAATCTTCCAGCTCCCTAAAAAGTGAGAGGAAGATGTGAAATATAGCCTATCAGGATCAAATCTGATAACCCATAGACAACAGACTTGAGTCGGCACTAGACAATAGTAAAGCTACACAGGCATAAGGGGGGAATCGGGAGCGACCCTGACAGCCTCTTAACAGGAGGTCACGCGTGTGGAGCACGGGGAGACCCCAGAGTGGAGCGGGAGGTCAGGAGGAGGTTCGTATCCCAACCCTGAAGACTCCCAGATCCCCACCAAGGACTATCAGTACGGACAGCAAGGACTACATCCCAACCACTAAGGAGACCACAGGGAATAGGAGGGCCTTTGGAGGCCGAGAACTCTGAGGTCACCCACCTCCATCTGGAGCCTCCACAGGGGATGGAAGAAGTCCAAACTCTGCCGTGCAGAAACCAGCACCATCGGAACAACAGCCAGGAGCCCTGAGTGATCTGCAGAAACAGGAGAATAATAAACTTCCTCCGGGACTAAGGAGGCGAGCTCTCTCTGGTCCTTGCCTTGCTCTGGCTCTGGGTCCCCACCCTCCCTCGCGGTGACCATTAGGATAGCTCCAGTAACCCCTCAAAACAAACAAACAAACAAACATACAAACAAACAAAAAGTCTAGAATGGACAGACAACAACAAGGAAAGCTTAGAATCAGACAGGAAATGGCCAGCATGGATCCAATCATGCCTCACTAGGTGGGACACAAAGATTAGTTACGCCTCACTGGGGCATTGGGGATTTCTCTGCACACCCATCCTAAAAAAGTGTACTGTACCTAAACTGATAACTATGGAATCAGGTTGAATATAACCCAAAAATCGAAATGTCTATGAAGAAGTCACAGGATGTAGTAAAGAAACTGCATTTTCCTATCAACATACTATTAATCAATACCATGTCAATTAATGCCATTAGGTTGTAAATGGCTGTTGATGTTATGTTCGGGCTTTTAATTGATTGGGATGATAATTTGCCGGCTTTACCTTCAGACCAGAGATGGTCTCACCAAGAAATCGTTGAACCCACTAGGATAATAAGACACTGGACTTATGCTTGGTAAATACTTCCAATGAAAGAACCTCAACTGAATTTGAACTGTGGTAATGCATCAAGGTGGAGAAATCCACCATGGGGGGAGGGTTTGGGGAGGGGTGGGGGGAATCCCAGTGCCCATAACACTGTGTCACATAATGCAATACAATTAATTTTAAAAAATGTAAATGTGTAAAGCGTGACCGTAAAATGTCAGTTCAAATGTACATCTGTTAACTTTTTTATGGGCTGGTGCTATGCCGTAACCTGGAAAGCTTTACCACCAGCATCTCATATGGGCGCTGGTTCGGGTCCCAGCCACCCCACTTCCCTTCCAACTCCCTCCTAATGACCTGGGAAAGCAGAAGATGGCCTGAGCGCTCGGGCTGTTGCGTGCTGGCAGGAGACCGAGATGAGGTTCCTGGCTCCTGGCTCCAGCTCAGGCTACTGCCACCATTTAGGGACTGAACCAACAGGTAGAATAACTCTTCCTTTCAAATAAACCAAATAAATGCATTTACAGAGGGAGGGAGAGACACAGAAGGATCTTTTAACTGCTAGTCCATTCCCCAAATAGTCAGGGCTGGACCAGGCCAAAGCCAGGAGCTTCACCCAGGTTTCCTACATGAGTGCAGGGCTCCAAGCATGTGGGCCGTTCCGTCCCGTGTGCCTAGGTGCGTCAGCAGGGAGCTGGACCAGAAGTGGAGCAGCCGGGACTCAAGCCGGCACCACGCTGGATGCTGGTCCTGCAAGCAGCTGTACCTACTGCAGCAGAATGCTGGCTTTTGTCTCTGTTACCTTTCATATTCTCTCTCTTTTTTGAAACTAGTGATTAACTTTTGGAAGTTGTATTTATTTATGTGTTTACAAGACAGAGTTAAAGACAGAGACGTAGGGATCTTCATCCACTGGCTCACTCCCCGGATGGATACAATGGAGCCAGGAGCTTTTTCTGGGTTTCCCATGTGAGTACAGGGACCCAAGCACTTGGACCATCTCCACCGAGCCACATTCATAGTAGTGGGGCAGGATCAGATGTGGAACAGCCGGGACTTGAACCAATACTTGTATGGAATGCCAGCACCATACACAGCAGCTTTACCCACTACGTCACCACGCTGGCCACCTTATGTATTTTTTCTTGAATACTTATTTTTATTGGAAAGGCAGATATACAGAGAGGATGAGAAAGAGGAAGATTTTCTGTCCAATGGTTCACTCCCCAAGTGGCCGCAATGTCTGGAGCTGAGCCAATCCAGGAGCCAGGAGCCCCCTTGGGGTCTCCCATGCAGGTGCAGGGTCCCAAGGCTTTGGGTCGTCCTCGACTGCTTTCCCGGGCCACAAGCAGGGAGCTTGATAGAACGCGGGGCTGCTGGGATTAGAACTGGCACCCATATGGGATCCTGGTGCTTTCAAGGCGAGGACTTTAGCCACTACACTATGGCCACGGGCCCCACCTTATGTATTCTTGAGGTGGATGAGGTCAGCAGCTTCAGTTTCTCACCAGTGCACAGATGGAACAGCGAGCTGGACATGTGCTTGGTGCAGCAGCTCCCCAAAGGACTGAGCTGTGAGGGCTCTGCACACATGAGGAGGGGAGGCGGTCTCCCCAACCAGCACGTGCCCCCTGTGCCACATCACTGGTTCATGTCACGCTCCAGCACTTCAGCAGCCAAGGGACGTTGGTCAGGTCCCTTGGTCTGGCTTGTCACTGCGTTGGGGGACACAGGCAGCACTCGGCACAGGGCCGGACACACTCGCATCACTTGTTACCTGTTCCTCCAAGGGGGCTTCAAAGGTTCACGTGAAAATGGAATTAAAATACGAACTCCCTAGATACCTGCAGGGACAGGGCTGGGCTGAGGAACCTGGAGCTCGGCCCCCTCCATCCGCACGGAGACACTCAGGTGTGAGCTGTCCCCTGCCGTCTCCCAGGATGCACTTGGACAGGAAGTAGAGCAGGTGCAAATCCAACAGTCTGTCATGGGGAGCGGGTGTCGCACGTGGCGGCTTAACCCACTGCACCAGAGCAGACTCTTTTGCCTTCAAACCACCTGCATCAGCAGGTCTTACCACTTTATTTATTTTTCAAGATTTACTTGTTTTTATTAGAAAGTCACATTTACAGAGAGGAGAAACAGAAAGATCTTCCATTTGCTAGTTCACTCAGCCAGAGCTGAGCCAATCTGAAGCCAGGAGCTTCTTTGGGGTCTCCCACATGGGTGCACGGTCCCAAGGTTTTGGGCTGTCCTCGACGGCTTTCGCAGACCACAAGCAGGGAGCTGGATGGGAAGTGGGCAGCCGGGATGTAAACTGGAGCCCATATGGGATCCCAGCGCATGCAAGGATTTAGCTATTTGGTTATCGTGCTCGGTCCTCTTTCTTTTTAAATTGTGTTAGAGAGCTGCTGTCTGCTGGCTCACTCCCTGGGCCGCGCCAAGCCAAAGCTGAGAGCTGGGAGTGCACTGGGAGTGCAGTGTAGACGGATCAGGAAGCCCACTGCCTGCAGCAGCAGGGAGCTGGGCTCGCTGACCCTGCCAGGGAACATGGGCATGGTGACCTGCGTCTTCCACTGCCGGCCTGGACGCCCACACCGAGCCGTGCCTGCATTCCTGCCTGTGTCCCAGAGGGGGGAGAAAGCAGCTGTGGCTGCAGTTGGCACGGGCCTACAGTTTCTGCCGTGGGGCGTCCCTGCGTGCTAAGGCCTCGGCTCCCAACTCCTGCCACACCTAGAGTTGTCTGGCAAGGCTGGGGCATAGCCGGGGATCCCTAAAGTGTACGGAACATGGCACGGAGGACTGGGCGGAGGTTTCCTGGTTAAGGACTGGGCGGAGGACTGCTTGGCTCTCTCTCCAGGTACCGTGACTTCTGGTCACCGTGCTGTGTGGAAAGCACCACAGCTTCCGCACAACAGCCCGAGGCGGTCCTTGGGAACCCACTTCCCAGACAGGGCTTCCGCAGGGCCGAGCCGACGGGCTCCTCGGTACAAGTAGGTCTGTCTGGGCTCCGAAGCTCAGCGCTCTGGTGCCATTCCTGGCGAGCCCCTAGACTTCACAGCTGGGGTACCCCAGCCCAGACTGTTCGCCTGGAATCTGCATTTTCCCCAGAGTTCCAGAAAGGGGATGGGGGGGGTCACACGTGGTACTCTGAGAGGCACCAGTCAATTCTTAGCCCGCACAGCTACTGCGTGGCGCCTAGGGGGCCTGCCAGGGGCCTCTGGAGCCCGGGGTGCACAGGGAAGCCCCCTGTGGGGGCAGAAGGCAGCTCTGCTCCCCAGGGAGCCCAGCAGCAGGTGCTGATCCTGGCGGGACCACCACGAGGATGGCTGTCCAGCTCACAGATGACAGCTGAGCAGGCCATGCAGCGGAACGCCAGCACGCACGGCTTCCCAGGGCAGGCGGGAGGAACTGGGCAGCCCAGCTGACGACACCCTTCATCTCCCACTCATATCCTGTCAGAAAGCTTCCAGTTCTAGAAGCATCTGTCTGCCTCATCCAGCAAGAACCCCATCCAGCGGCATCTCGGGTCCTTCCGGCAGCTGGTGAGGTCAGGAGGGAGCCAGCTTTGCCCGCCCTGCGCCCTGCAGAGCTGGAGGCCCGAGGTCACAGATCCTCCAGCTGCGAAAATATGGAGGCTGTTTGCTCTCACCGTGCGCAGGTTGCTCTGCGGGCTTTCTGGAACATTCCAGAAAATCATCCTGAGGTTGATCCGCCCGAGGAACCAGTCCCACGACCCCAGGCCACACACAGCAGCCCGAGACAAGCCTGTGCAAGGAGCAGGCGGGGCTGCTCGAGACCCCCAACACTGCGAGATGGGTGTGGGAGAGGAAGCCGGGCCAAGGGTCTAAGTCACCCCGAGGAAGCGAACATCTCCGGGCTTGTCATCCAAGGGAGGGATGACACGTCCACACTGCCTACCCCGAGCCTTCCCAGGCCGGGACAAAGCCAATTCATGTTACACATCCACAGCAAGTCTTCGTGCCAGCGGGGTCAGGGCAATGATGAGTTTGCAGAAAAGCCGTAACCCAAGGTAGCTTTTATTGAGTGGGGCACAGAGGGGCGTCGGCACCACCCTGATGCCACCCGATGTCCCCTCCCCTTGGTGTGCTTAGAGCTGGCCACTGCCAGGCCGAGGTGACCACAGCTGCTGCTGTCACACACGCAGTCAAAGCAAGAGCAGGGGGCAGGCGGCTCCCCCGAGCTGCCGTACCCAGAGCTGCCTGTCTGAGGGTCTCTCACGACGCTTGCTTTGCTAAGACCTGAGCAGACCTAGGAGAGAGGGCCTCGTGGAGTGTGTGCGGTGCGGAGGGCCCCGCCTAGGCGTTGTAGGAGGAGGACGACACGCTGCCGCCGTGGCCCGTCCAGTTGGTGTGGATGAACTGTCCTGGCTTGGCCAAGAGTTCGTAGGTGTGAGCCCCGAAGTAATCCCGCTGAGCCTACGAGACAGCAAGTGAGGCGGTGAGGACCCAGCCCGGGCCCGGGCCCTCGGCGCCCAGCGGGCAGGCAGCACCTGCTCACCTGGATGAGGTTGGCAGGCAGAAGCTCGTGCCTGTAGCCATCGTAGAAGGAGAGGGCGGTGGTGAAGCAGGGCATGGGGATGCCCGCCTGGACGCCAGTGCTTACGGTCCGCCGCCAGGAGGCCTGCACGGGGTGGGTGAGGCTGTGCTGAGCACCCTGCTCTGCTGAGACCCGCCCACGGCTCCAAGCCCAGCCGTGCTTCCACGGAGGCAGAGCCCACGGGAAGGCACCTTGCCCCACGATGGGCCATGTACCTGGCAGCTCTCCACGGCCGACTTGAAGAAGTCATCCAGCAGCAGGTTCTGAAGCTCCGGGTTCCGGTCAAACGCTTCTTTTATCTTTCCCAGGAACACGCTGAAACGGCCACAAAGGCGAGAGGTCAGGGACTCTGAAGATGGAATCATCCACTGATACTTCCACCTGCTGGTTGGCTGCGACGCCAGCGCTGGGCAGGCAGGAGCTCATCCTGGTCTCCCCGTGGGTGGCAGGGGCCCAAACACTGGGCCCGTCCTCTGCTGCTCTCCCAGGCCATCAGCAGGGAGCTGGGTCAGAAGTGGAGCAGCCAGGACATGAACTAGCATCCCATGGGATACCACGCGCATTGCTATGCCACAATGCCAGCTCCCCCACCTCCTCACCTCTTAGACTGTATTTAATTGGAAGGCAGAGAGAGAGAGAGAACCAGAAGGATGTTAACCTGCTGGTTCACTGCCCAGATGGCTGTAACAGCGAGGTCTGGGCCGGGTTCAGGCAGGAGCCAGCAAGTCCATCCAGGTCGCCCAGGAGGGAGGCAGAGCCCATCCCCGGCTGCCTTCCCAGACGGGCACTGGCAGGAAGCTGGACTGGAAGCAGTGGGACTGTCACGGGCAACTCCAGAGACCCCAGTCCCGTGGCCCAGTGACCCCGGCTGCCCTCCCTCACCTGCGGATGATACAGCCGCCCCTCCACATGAGGGCGATGCCGCCGTAGTTGAGGGTCCAGCCGAACTCCGCAGCCGCCTGCCTCAGCAGCATGAAGCCTTGGGCGTAGGAGATGATCTTGGAAGCATAGAGGGCCTAGGCAGAGCCAGGAGACAGCAGGGTCACGGCAGCCCGGTGGCCGCCCCGCAGGCCATCCAGGCCTCATTCGTGGGAGGACAGAAGCACGGGGGCTGCAGTCCCTCGGGCAGGGGGGAGGGCTGGCCTGTGTCCCAGTCCCTGCAGCCCTGCCCCCTGCCTGCTTCCCAGGCCCCACCTTGCGAATGTCCTCCAGGAAGGCCCCCTTGTCCCCTCCAAACGCCATCTTTGGGGGTCCCTTCAGCAGTCTGCTGGCCTGAGTCCGCTCGTCCTTCAGAGATGACAGGCACCGTGCGAACACGGCTTCTCCTGTGGGGACATGTGGTATAGACGGGACGCAGGGTGGGAACTGCCCCACCTCCCCACGAGCCCCAAGTGCCCAGCCTAGCCACAGCATGTCTCCTAGGGGAGAAGCTCCACACGAGGGCTCTGACAGCTCAGCTCCAACGGGAGGTGGGGCCTCCACGTGACACAGGCACGCGAGCCCACAGCTCCACGGGGACTTCCAAGGGCAGGTTGCAGCGAAATCGGACCTAAAGTTGCGGGGCTCCGAAGCTTCTCAGCACTGGCCCAGGTCAGCAAGCTCAGGTCCAGTTTGAGGGACTCCATGGGGCCTGTGGAGGCGCTAAGCGCCCATCAGCTGGAGCGCCTGTAGTCTGGGACCCTGCCACCCAGGAGTGCCCCGGGTGTCCAGCAAGGCTTCTGCAGATTCACAGCCTCCACATCTGAACAAGTCCCTTCAACATGGCGTCTTAAGAGTAAATCATTATCGTCAAACGTGATCGCTGCTACAAAACTCCTCACTTAGGTGACTTAGCATACATTACCCTGGGGCCCCGCACGGTAACCTAGTGGCTAAAGTCCTTCCCTTGCGTGCAACCAGGATCCCACATGGCTGCCGGTTTGTGTCCCAGTGGCCCTGCTTCCCATCCAGCTCCCTGCTGTGGCCTGGGAAAGCCGTCAAGGACGGACGGTCTAAAGCCTTGGGACCCTGTACCCGCATAGGAGACCCCGTAGAAGCTCCTGGCTCCTGACTTTGGATCGGCTCAGCTCCAGCCATTGTGGCCACCTGGGGAATGACTCATCGGAAGGAAGATCTTCCTCTCTGTCTCTGCTCCTCTCTGTATATCTGACTTTTCAAAAATAAAAATAAGTCTTAAAAAATAATAATAATACATTTCTAAGCATTTTTCGCCTCCAACAAAATGAAGTAGGGTCCCTGGGAGGCGGTGCTTTTGGGGAAGGAGAGCAAGCCCAACAGGGCTGTCTTGGCAGGGCACCCCCAGCAATGGAGCGTGTGTATGAGGGACCACAGGTGAAGCGGGGGAGCCACAGGAGCCCCCCAGGCCTGGTGGGAAGGGCCGAGGTCCTGAGCATGCTGTCTGGGCGGGAGTGGGGAACTGCTCCCTGCTTGCTTGGATTGGCACGAAGCAGCCACCTGCCCTTGGGGCACTCAGTGAGGCCCTGAGCCGCCCTTGCCCTTCCCCCTGGGCCTCAGCTCACGGTCCCCGACAGGGGAGGGCACAGTAATCGGGAAACCAGGGAGGGAGGGTGTTTTCTCAGAGAGCCCCTCGCAGCGTGGCACCTGCCGGCACCGCCTTTGGCTCCTTGCCCCACCCGCGTGAGTCCTCTCTCTTAAAGTACCAGCTTCCAGCTTTGTTTATCTGCTCAAACTCATTCTTTCTATTTTTTTTTCTACTTTTTCTTCTTTCCCTCCCCTTATTAGAGTTTGACATTCACTAATACAAGAGCGTGGCTGGGAAGCTGGTGCCACAATTCCAGGGTGGTGAGTGTTTAAAAAAAAAGACTTATTTGAGATCCGGAGGGAATCCTGTATGCACCGGTCCCCCTGACAGGCAAGATCAACATGCCCACGACATGGCACGCACCGATGAGGGTGACAGGGACGCCGTACTCCAGGGCCGAGATGGCCGTCCACTTCCCAGTGCCCTTCTGCCCTGCGCTGTCCCGGATCTTTGGCAGCAGCTGTTTGCCATCCGAGTCTTTGAACTTGAGGATGTTGGCTGTGATTTCAATCAGGAATGAGTCCAGCTCTGTCTTATTCCACTCCTCGAAGGCCTGTGGGGAGGACAGCGCAGGAAATGCAGCGAGCGAGGAAGCCCCAGGACCTGCCCGTCCCCGGTCCTCTCCTACGGCATCCACACCAGCACCCATGATGCTTGGGCAGCACCCAGGCTCTTGGGTGTCCACATTCCCGCCCCCGAACGCCCACCTGGTCCTGTGGTAACTGGGATGGGGTTCTGCTTGATGTTGACCTTGGCTCAGCACCACAACCGCTCTCCTCCCTGAGTCTTGGGGCTACCCTCGGTCACTCCCAGGAGTCTTTCATCCTACCTGCTCCACAGCCCCCTGTCCCATTCACCTCTTTCATACGTGTCATTACCAAGCAGCTTCACATTAGATATTAGATGATGAGGGGCTGTCTCCCCAGCTCGGGGAAAACGGAATGAATGTGTTAAGTACTGGGTCAACCAACGGAACGCAACCCCAAAAGAGAAAAGCACAGCTCCTGTGACAGTGCTGCTGTGTGTTCTGGAAGACACCCTGAGCAAGTGAGGAAACAAGAGCGGGGTCTAACAGGCCAGGAGGAGGCAGACGGACGCAGCCGAGGAGCCTCCCAACAGCCACAGGACGCATGCTGGCGGCCACGTGCCCTGCTGTCCCACCCAGAAGCACTCTAGCTGAATCTGACATTCTGCAGGACAGGAAAGAGGACCAGGCCACTCATCAGCAGGGCTGCACTGAGTAAACGGCCTGGCGGCCGGACGTGCCTTTGCGAGCTCTCAGTGAGCACGTGCTTCGCCTGCTGAGCTAAAGCAGTTAGGGGCAGAAGCAGCGGCTCCTGCACTTACTGCGACCAGCACACAGAGAACGAGAGGAGATGGACAGCTGGGCAGGAGGGCTGGAAAGCACGAGGCTGACGGGAGAATTCAAGTGGCGAATACAGAGGGAAGAACCTTGCCTGAGGGCCCACTATCTCCCTAATTGACCGAGTGTGGAAAAGCCCGTCCCGCGTGGTAGGACATAGCGCGCCCCTCAGCCCTTATGTGGACGACCGCAGGATTAGGCGAGATGCAGGCTGCCGAGCAACAGGTGCCTGATGCAAAGCCAGGCTGGCCGCAGGGGGCAGCGGAGACCCGGGGCTCTTGGGAGCTTCCTGCCAGGCGGCCTCCCCGCGGGCCCGGGCACTTACCTGTGCCATCTCGTCATGCCCCATGCCCAGCACGTCCTTCATCAGGTGGTAGGCCTCACAGATGAGCTGCATGTCCCCATACTCTATCCCATTGTGTACCATCTTCACAAAGTGCCCGGCGCCCTCCTCGCCCACCTGCCAGGAGACACACGTCGTTGCAGAGGCTCAGTGGGGACATGGTGTCCCTGACAGGTCCACGGTGGGCCAGACGCCCACGTCTCAGCTGAGGCCCCTTCCCCACACAGAAATAACAAACACAATGTCAGCAGGGTATCTCTGAAACACAAACCCTCCAGCAACCAACGCAAGCCCGGTGGGAGGCTATTTCTGCAATAATTCCAGCACATTCCCTAAAGGTTTGTTCAGAATCTCCCCAGCTCTGGGAGGACCTACAGCTGAGCGCTCCCCTCCTCGCTGACGCTAAGCCAACGCTATCTCCAGCCCTGCCAGCAAATAGTCTTTTTTTTTTTCCTGACCACTTTCCCCAAATTGGAGGCTCAAGTACATTGGCTCACTAAGTCACTTGGGTATTTTTCAACATACAAATGTGTGTGGTAATGTTTGTGTGGTTACTGCAGGACAGTAAACAGCCGAGGTCTGGCCGTCCCTGCACCCTGGAAGCTCAGAGATGGGTTTCTCTAAGGTTGCTCCATGGATAAGGTGCTCGCCCTGGGCCCGGGCAGGCATCCAGGACACACCTGCACCAGGTGACCGAGCCCGCACCGAGGCGTTCCGCAGTGAGCCTTGGGGTTCACGTGCTTGTCAGATGAGCAGCTCTGGCCCTCAGGACAAGCTGAGAGGACAGTGACAGGAAAGCAAGGGGCAGGCACAGAATCGGCCCAGAGGGCAGAACGTGGGCGCAGCCCCGTGCACGCAGCTCTGTGACAGGGACGCACCTGCCAGGCAGCCTGTGTGAGTCACTTCTTCCCACCTTCCCCCAGGCACTGTCTCTGCTGGCTCCTCCCACTGGCCTGCGTTGCCTGCTGCTCTGCCACTCTGCCCTGCACTCAGGGGACCAAGCCCCTCTCCACTGCTCCCTTCCGGCTGCTTCAACAACAAACCAAGCAGCGTCCTCAGTGACCTGGACTGAGCAAGCTCCACAAGGGCAGGTGCTGCCTTGTCGGCCCGACAGTGTCCTGTCGCTGCCCTCGCACTGCAGTCCTGACACCAGAACGAGATGTCCCTCCCCCAGCCTCTGCTGCCCAGCAGCTCCAGCCCTGCCCGCCCTCAGCCGACTCAGCTCAGCGGCGCCCCCTGGTGTGGCAGACGCAGAGCGTGTCTGCACCCCCACACCTTTATGGCACCTGCAAGTGACATTAGCAATGTGTCTGAACTGATGGTGTAAGATGAACGGGGAATCCTAGGGACTGCCGGCCCAACCCTCATGGTTTCCAGATAAGGAACTGGGAGCCCAAGGGGGAAGTGGCTTGCTGGCGTCACCCAGAAGTGCCAGCCCAGTGCAAGGGTTGAAGTGGGGATATGGGAGGGCGTGTCACTCGGGACCGCACAGGAGGCAGGGAACAAGCCCCGGCCGCCGTCTCCTTCAGGGAGGGCCCCACCAGGGACAGGCCTGCCCACTCGTGCCCGCCATGCTGCAGCCCATGTCCCCTTCCTGGCACCCCAGCCTGCAAACTCCACTGCCGATTTTGACATTCTCACTTGGGCTGTGTTATAACACGGCTTAAAAAACAGCCTTACGTCACCTCATTCTTCCTTTTTCTTTCCTACAATCTGACGGAGGACACTTGCGTGTCGACCTCCAGGCTAGGAGGGGTCCATTGAGAACCAAGGCCAGGTACTCTGGACAGGGTCTGTCCCCCAGGGGTTCATGCATTGGAGGTGTGGTCCCCATGTGGTATTGTGGGAGGCGATGGTCCTTTAACAGGGAGGGGCCTGCTGGGAACCCTCTGGTCACTGCAGGACACCGAGTGACTTCTTCTGAGGGTAAATGCTCTAGCCACGTGGTGGCATCCACCCGGAGGCCTTCCCAGTTGACCCGAAGCCAGGGCTATGGCCTTGACGCCCCCGAACTGCGAGCTAAGCGACCCTTTCCTTGCTGTGCCCAGCTCAGGCCTTCGTGACGCTCAGGAACAGGAGGCTAAGGCAACGCATGCACTTGAGGAAGCAGCTACACCAGCAGCTCAAGAGACCTTATCTCACGGAGTGACCGCCGACCGAGGTGGCCTCTGCTCTGTGCCATGTCACTCTGCCACGCCCAGGTCGCGCCCAGCCTTAAGACGGAGCCCAGAACTTGCCCAGTCACAGCAGGGTTCTCCGGTCCCGACCTTGGCCGCGATGCTCTGGAAGATGGTCTTGATGTGTGGCCTGTGGAACGAAGCAGTGGGTCACCTCAAGGGCTGGCCCTCTACGGGAGTGGGTATGCCCGGGATGAAGCTGAGGCCTCAGCGAAGCCCCTGTCCCCCGCTCGCCTAGCGGCCTGCCCCCTAAGCGTCTTGAGGGCAGGGGCCACAGACCTGCTGTGACTGACACAGAGCGGCTGGGCGGAGGCCTCACCCAAGCACCAGGAGCCCTTGCAGCCTCGGGAGCAGCCTGGCTGCCCACAGCAAGCACGGGGGAGCTCGGGAGTGGGCCGTGTCCCCACGGCCGCCGCTCATGGCAGGTGCAGCTGGGAGATGCCGGGCAGAGCGGGAGGGGCCCCTCGGCGCGTTTCCACCCCCAGGCCGTGCTCACATTGAGCCTTCTCCTGTCATGCTCATTTGTATAAAGATTTATTTTACTTGTTTTAAGGCAGAATAATAAGGGAGAAAAAAACCAAGCGAGAGCAAGAATCTTCCAACTACTGGTTTGCTCTCCAAATGGCCCTAACAGGCAGGAGCCTGGCATGGCACCCGGGTCTCCCAGGAGGGTGTCAGGCCACTTTCAGCTGCTTTTCCAGGGAGCCAGTGGATTGGAAGCAGCACAGCCAGGATTCGAACATGGGCCCAAATGCAGGGTGCTGTTGTGGCCACGACACCTGCCCCCTACTACCCCTGTACTCAAAACCTTGCCAAGTAGGCCTGAAGACAGCGGTGGGTGCTGACTGTGCACTGAGGGTGCCGCCTGCGACACCTGCAGGCCACCCCAGGGTACTTCTGCTCCACCCCCGAGGGGGCAGCAACGATGGGTCCCCACCCACCTTTTTACGGAGGCGACGCAAGGTCCTGGCTCCTGGCCTCGGTCTGGTCCAGCCCTGGCCGTTTGTGATGTTTGTGAAGTAAACGGAACAGCCAGGACTTGGACCACTGGACACGGGCATCCCGAGCCACAGCTTCACCCGCTGCCCGGTCCACCACTGGACGCGGGCATCCCAAGCCACAGCTTCACCCGCTGCCCGGTCCACCCCGCCACCCAGAAAGGTGGCTCTGAGTGTGAGTTAACACACCGCAGGAGTCCCCGCACATCCCGGGAAGAGACATCCGCAGGGACTCCTCCCCCGCATGCTTCTAGAACACTGGGAAATGAAACTCAGGAAACCGCCACCCCCGCGGCCCCCTCAAAGTGTTTGTTACTCTCCCTAGCCCTTCCCTGCTGCCCACCTCTCTCCCCAGCAGCTCCCACGCCTGCCACAGTCCCAGCAGGACCCCGTCGGCGCCCGTGTGTCTTTCCACTCATGTGGAGCTGCGGCCACACGGGCCCGCTCGGCTCTGGCTTTGCAGCAGCAGTGTCCATGGCCTCGCGGGGCCGGCACTTCCTCTGCCATGGAGCGCAGCACGCGGCGCTAAGCCTGGTTTCCCAAAGTGCACATTTTCTGCCCCGTCCCAGGCTGGAGTTTTCCATGACTCACAGTTACTAAAGTTATCTGTGGGGCACATGTCACAGACCAGAGGCCGCCCTCACTCGCACGCGTGGCCCCATCCCGGCTGTTTCCATCACAGCTGCTTGGAACCCCCTGCGTCAGCCCCACGGAGCCACAGAAGTCAGACGCCCCGGCAGGGGGCTTCAGAAAATGCATGAATATGTGCAGGAGAACACCAAAGCAAACTGTATCTTTAAAAAACTTTCATTTTTTTTCCTCCTGAGAACTACTTTTCTTGAATATTTATATTTAAGAGGCAGAGAGAGATTTCCCACTTGCCAGCCACACCCCAAATGGCTGCAATGGCCAGGCCGGGCTGGGCCGTAGCTGGGAACTGGACACACCCCAGGGCTCCCCATGCGAGCATCAGAAACCCGATTACCAGCGCCACCCTACAATTCCCCAAGGTCTGCACAGTCAGGCAGCTGGAATCAAGAGCCAGAGCTGGGGACTGAACCTGGGCCCTAGCATTTGGGCTGCGGGTACTGTCACACTGAGCCAGACACTCACTCCTGCATCTGTCATACTCCAGGGGTGCAGACAGACACAGCCCCAGCAGCTCCCCCTCTAGCCTCATCCCCCATGCGGAGACCGGGTGCCCCCAGGACTTACCAAGCCTCTTTGTTCCCTCCGGGCATGAGTGACGGGCCGTGCCGGGCCCCTTCCTCTCCGCCGCTGACTCCACTGCCCACAAACAAGATGCCCTTGGCCTTGAGGTCTCGGCATCGCCTCTAAAGGAGAGAAAAACAATCTTACGGGAGGAAGGAGGCTTGGGGGGCGGGAGGGACAGTCCGCATTCAGGGAGGTGATTCGAGGCTCCTGGAGGAGGTGTCCTTCCACTGATACAACCCAACACTCGTGGGCACCTAGAGCTATGGACCCTGCGTCAAAAGGGCAGTCAGAAAGCCAAGCAGTGGCCTTGTGTGGCAGACCCATGGTTAGGGTTAGGGGAGTGGGGCTGGCGCAGTGGGCCAGGCCACTGCTCGGCACCTCTCAGCCACCCGAGACCTGCACACAAGACCAGTCGTGGCGCAGCTGGCAGTGAGGGCACGGACTGAGCGGGCTCACACTGGCGGTGAACGTGCAGCACCACAGCCGATCCTCTGTTTCTGGTGAGCAACTGCGAGCCTCCCCCGCAGCGGGCGTCAGTCGCCTGGGACTCAGCCCTCAAGGCCCAGCACCTCCAGCCACATGAGTGATGTCTGGACTTGAGCCTGTACCACTTACCGTGGTGTCCCTGTATTCAGAGTTTCCTCCGTCAATGATGATGTCCCCAGGGTCCAGCAACGGAACCTGGAACCAGACGCTGGCATTAGGGTGGGCCACAGGCTACGGCACACACACAGCCTAATGAAAGCACATACCACTCGCTGTGGATTGAATAGGATCTGGTTCCCAAAACTGGCAGATGGCAGAACCGCAGCAGTTATTAAAAAGGCGTGAGCCCATTCACAGTGGTGGGGTCTTGGGGAAGTGACTGGATGCGGGGGCCAAGGTCCCTTCCTGCCCCTCTCAATCCTGTTACCCGTGAGGTCCCGCCTCCACACCCTCCCACCAGAGCCTGAGCTTGGCCTGTAAACCTCCCTACTGTGCGCTCTCACCAAGGTGGCTCCTCCCAGGAGTCTGAGCCCAAGCCGACTAATCCCCTAACCTTGTGACACGCTTAATCCTCGGGAATCCAGCCTGCTTACAAGGGAAGGCCTCTCAAATCCAGAACGGCCCAGAACTGACAACTCCTGTGAACCACTTCAAGATAGCTGACAGATTCTTTACGAGAGAGAGAGAGAGAGAGAGAGAGAGAGAGAGAGAGAGAGAGAGAGCGAGCTCACGTGTGGGCTGCCTCTCCAGGGCCCCACAGGCTGGAGCCGTCCCTTGCTCTCTCCTTGGCAGGAGTGGGGGCTAGAGTGTGCCTACACACTTCCTGGCCACAGGGACGAATGCCCATCAGTAACCTAAGATTTTTCACAAGGGATTAAAAAAAAATTACTGCAGAATGCATGTTCTGAAAAAGCTGGGCCTAGATGTGCATTATTTGCATTAAAATAAGCTTACCTTTTAAGTCTACTTTTCCATAAAGTTTTTAAAGTATCCTTGTAAAACAAATAACACCTTCCTGGAGTTAATACTGTCATCATGTGACACCTACTTGGGGTTAGAGCCCTGCTTGCAAAGGCCCTGTCTAGAACACGACAGGCCACGTGGTTTTATTTCACCCCCAAGTGAGGAAGAGGCCGGGCTGGCGCTGGGAAGCCTCCATCCGCAGCACCAGCATCCCGTATGGACACCAGGTCAAGTCCCAGCTGTTCCACTTCCGATCCAGCTCCCGTGAATGCACCTGCTGGAGCAGAGACGACCCAAGGGCTGGAGCCCCTGTAGCACGTGGAGGGACCTGGGTGGAGCCCCGGGTCATCGCTGGCCTTTGTAGCCGTGAGGAGTGAACCAGTGGATGGAAAAGCTCCCTGCAAATACTAAATCTTTTTTATTCTTTAAAGGAAGAGGCCAGTCCTGGGAGAACTTCCTGGCACACCCAGCAGGCTGGCTCTGTTGCCCATTGCTCCACCTTCCCCTGCAAGGCTCACGGTTAAAGTTACTTAATATTTTCCCACGCGGAAGAAGAAGCTGCCATTTTGGGGCCGGTTTTGTGGCACAGCAGGTTAAACTGCCTTGCAGCGCCACAGGGGTGCCACTTTTGAGTCCAGACTGCTCCACTTCCCATCCAGGTCCCTGCTACTGTGCCTGGGAAAGCAGCAGGGATGGCCCAAGGTCTTGGGCCCCTACACCCATGTGGAGACCTGGAAGAGGCTCCTGGCTCCTGTCCAGCGCTTCCCTGGTCGGTGCGTGCCTTTGGAGAGCAAATGAAAGGCCTGCTTTCTCTCTCCCTGTCTGCCTTTCAACTAAATACAATCTTCTAAAGCCTGCCATTTTGCGTCCACTTGGTCACAGGCTCCTGGCGTCTCACACACAGAAAGCTCGGCGTGTTCTTGCTTTCCCATTGACTGGAAATGCGGCAGTGCCCCGCTCGCTAACTCCGCGGGTACTCTCAGCCCCTTCGTCAGCACTCCACATCTGGCGGACCAGGCCCTCCCTCCAGCTGCTGTCACTGCCTTTCTTCTCTACGGGGAGCCTGCCCCGGTCCGCAGCTGTGCCTTTAGACGGGTCTGAAGCCATCGCTGCCCCCAGCTCCCCTCTCTCCATGTGCCTGTCTACAATTCCGAAAGCCAGCACATTGCCTAGTACAAAACTGAGTCGCAGTACGCAGTTCCTGGAACTCCCTGAGCGGGTCTCCTGCCGTCCACACCCAGTTACGGGGCCTTTTGAGAGCTGTTTCACAGCAGGGTGTTCTCGGCCTCGCACATTCACTCCGCATGACGGGCAGGACCGTACTGTCCACAGCCCCCACGGGACGACCCTGCCTGGCAGAGGCCGGGCGCCCAGCAAGACCGCTATGCTCCCAGGCTTTCCCTTGGGAAAGGAGCTCCAATTCCCATGCCCAGGACTATGGCCCTGGGCAAGCCAAGAACCAAAGACTTCACCAGGTCTCCAGCAGCACCTGCGGCTCCCAGGGCCCCTCCGGCAGCAGCCTGCATGCGGGGTGGGGAGCCCAGCTGGGTCCCCTGCCCTGAAAGTCAGCATCCTGAGACGGTTATAAAATTAGTGCCAACCAAAGTAGCGGCTGTGCAACATTTAGGCAGTTCTTTCCTCAAAACTGAGCAGGTCACGTCAACGACTTGGGAGAAAGAATCAAACAGCTAAAAGGAAAACCCTCTGCTCGCAGGCAGCTGCCAAGGGCAGGGCGGGCCTCACCAGCTTCTCGATGAAGTCGTCCACGGCCTGGCCGGCCTTGACCAGTAGGATGATCCGACGCGGCCGCTTCAGGCTGGACACCATCTCCTTCAGGGACTGAGCACCGATCACCTTGGTGCCCTTGGCCTCGTTGGCCAGGAACTCGTCCACTTTGGAGACCGTCCTGTTAAACGCGCACACCTGGAAAGACAGGGGGAGTGAGCAGGCAGGGGGCCACGCCACCTGCCAGCAGCCAGGAGGGCCAGGGCGGCCCTCGGTGGCAGGAGCCCGCGGGGAACTGAGGCTCAGCAGGTCCGGCCTCGGCCTCTGGCTGGCGATGCCCAGGGTCAGGCTCCCTTCCCGCTGGACACAGCCACCTGCAGCGCTCGCGTGCGCACACCCTCCGGGGGCCGTGGGACCCGGGCAGCGGGCAGGAGACCCGAGCCCCGCCACTCACCACGAAGCCGTGGTCATTCATGTTCAGGATCAAGTTCTGGCCCATGACCGCCAGTCCGATCAGCGCGATGTCAGCCCTGGGAGGAAGAACCAGACAAGGGTGTCGGCGCGCCAGGCCCGGTTCTCAGCGCTTTCGCCCGCCCGCGCCCCCGGGATGCCGCCCGGCCAGGGCCCGCGCCCCGAGGCGATCGCGGCCCCGGTGCAGCTCCTCGGTGGCCATGGCGAGGCACTCACTGGGCCATGGCGGCGGCGGGGCGGCGGGCAGAGCAAGTCTGAGGAGCGGCGGCGTGCGGGGTTCGGGCGGCGCCGGCGGGTCCCCCTGGCCTCCCGGGCTGCAGCGGCTTCAGCCAGGACTGCCCGGCGCCAACCAATCCGGAGCAGGGGCGGAACTGTACCGCTACGCCATTGGCTCTCTCCGGCGCCTGTTAGACCACCTGAGGCCGAGCGGGCACGCCCACTCTCGGCGGGGCCGGATCAGTGGAGAGCCGAGCACATCGATGGCCCCGGGCTGTGGTGGGTGAGGGGGCGCGGGGCCGGCCGCCTGAGGGGCTCGTGCTCAGGCCCCGGACTCCGCTCGCGGCCGGGCAGGTGACGTGGGGAGCCGCGCTCTGCACCCTCAGAGGGTCGATCGCGACTCCCTCCCCGCACAGCCGGGCTCCGGGGGCGCACGCGGTTCCGCGAGGGGCAGACGATGTGTTCCAGACGCGCTGGGGTCGTGGGCTCAGTTTTAACTTTTCTTTTTTTAAAAAAGTGGATTTGGGTTTTATGCCACCATGGCCATGGCAGCCAAGGCTAGGCCTGGCTGAAGCCTGGAGCCAGGAACTGCACCCAGGTCTCCCACATGGCCGTGGGGACCCAAACACTTGGACCAGTGACACCTGCTGTCCTCAGCCGGGGCTCGAACCCGGATTCTCTGATAAGAACCTCAGTGACATAACCAGCACCTCACGCTGCTGGCCCCTGCTGCACATTTGTTCAGAGGCTGGAACCCCTGACTGGGGATAGCGTAGCAAGGGTTCCCAGTCCCTGTGCCCACCATGAGCCTCATGCCAACCGCTGCCCCAGCACCCACCCTGTGCCCACCGTGGACACTATTCCCACTGCAATCCCCATGCCCATCATGGCCCCTTGTCTGTCTCACACCCACTATGGTCCTCTCACCCACTGTGTCCCTAAACATGCCACAGCCCCCATGTCCACCATGGCCTCCATGCCCATCACAACTTCAGTGCCCACCACAACTCCTCCCACCACAGCCCTGGTGCCCATCATGCACCCTATCACCATGATGGTCCCTGATTCCACCACAGGCACCACAGCCACCCTGCCAACCATGGCCCCTGTGACCACTATGGCCCTCATGCCCACCACAGCTCCCTGTTCCCACCATGGCCCCAGTGCCCACCACGGCTGCTTCTCTGAACACAGCTCCTGCTCCCAACACAATCCCCATGCCCACCACAGCCCCCATGTCCACCATGTTCTCTGTGCCCTCATGGTCTTTGCCCCCACTACGGCTCCTATGCTTGCCACAGCTCCTGCACCCGTACCATAAACAGGGAACTGGATGGGAAGTGTAGCAGCTAGAACATGAAGTGGCGCTGCATGGGGTGCTGGTGCTTGCAGAGGATTCGCCAGTTGAACCATCGCACCAGTCCCTGGTCTGAAGCTGTTGATGGTGGGCAGGGGGCAGGGGGATCATTCTGCTCCCGGGCTCATTCTGCTCTTGCATCTTCCCAGCCGGGCAGCTGTGGGGACAAGGCGTTGAGTGTCAGGGTCTCCTCTTTCAGAGAGCAGAAGTGACACCCCCAAAAGTGGCTGCAATAGCCGGAGCTAAGCTGATCTGAAGCCAGGAACTTCTTCCAGGTCTCCCACGCAGGTGCAGGGTCCCAAGACTTTGGACCATCCTCTGATGCTTTCCCAGGCCACGGCAGGGAGCTGGATGGGAAGTGGGGCAGCTGGGACACAAATTGGTACCCATATCAGATGCTGTCACCTGAGGTGGAGAACCAGCCCACTGAGCCATGGTGCCAGCCTCACTAGTTACTCTTTTTTTTTTTTTAAGATTTTAAAAAAATTTGTTTTATTACAAAGTTGGATATACAAAGAGGAGGAGAGACAGAGAGGAAGATCCTCCGTCCGATGATTCACTCCCCAAGTGAGCGCAACAGCTGCTGCTGTGCTGATCCGAAGCCAGGAGCCAGGAACTTCCTCAGGTCTCCCACGCAGGTGCAGGGTCCCAAGGCCTTGGGCCGTCCTCCACTGCTTTCCCAGGCCACAGCAGGGAGCTGGATGACAAGCGGAGCTGAAGGGATTAGAACCGGTGCCCATATGGGATCCCGGCATGTTCAAGGTGAGGACTTTAGCCACTAGGCCACCATGCCGGGCCCACTAGTTAATCTTTTAATCAACTCTTCCAAGGCTAATAATGTAAGCCACTGCCCACTAATGTTTCACTCTGCTCCCCTAAGGCACTCCTTTCCAGCTCCACACAGTGCCCACCAACACCCTAAAGCCAAAGGCTGGAGTTCTAAATTGGACACAGCAGAAGGGACTCCCCATGCTGCCAAAGCCAAAGCCGACACTCCCACCCAGGCACATGTGGAATGCTGAGTCACCCTGACCGTGCCTCAGTGTGCAATAACATCAACATTTGCCCTGATAATACCCTGTGCTGTAGGTGACAAGCATGCGCAAACCAGGGAGCTGCTGCCTTCTCCCATACCCTGAGCCTAAGATGCATAAAAGCACAGTGCTGTAAACCCTGGGCAGCCATCTCCTTCATGGGGTCACCCTGCCAAGAAGTGGTCCCTGGCTGTCTCCCACCAGGGAGCAGTCTGTCACTCTCCCCTGATTAATAAAAGCCTCTCTCTTTCTCTCTCTCGCTTCTGAGCCCCACAGTATCCACATAGCGTTGTCTGCTGCTGGGGCCCTCCGTGCGCTGTCTCCAAAGTTCCCCACTGTGGCCAACCTGGGCTTGGATACAGCTCGGAAGGAGAGGTTCCCTGACTTCCTCCCACTCGTGATCTCCTCCAAAGTGAGGTGAAGTACCAGAATGCCTCTCCCTCCAGCTGCGTACCAAATACAGAAGCAGCCTGCGGATTTTCCTTGCAGCTCAGATGCTATGGTGTCAGCGTCTCCCCGTCTCTAGTCCTCATCTCTCTCGTCCCTTTGGGTAATAGGAATGTCCTGTTATAGCTTTTACATTTTTTTTAAAAAAATTTTATTTATTTGTCTGAAGGGGAGAGACAGAGAGCTAATTGATCAACCAGCCTGCTTACTTCCCAAATGGCTGCAATAGCCAGGTCCGGGCCAGGGCCAAAGCCAGGAACCAGAAACTCCATCTGGGTCCCCCGTGTGAGTGCAGGGACGCGGGCACTCGGGCCATCACCCACTGCTTTCCCAGGTACGTCAGCGGAGAGCGGCCAGGACAGGGAATGATACTCTGACATGGCATGGCATGCTCATGCCACAGGCCACAGCTCAGGGCTCCCCTTGCTTTTGTTGTGTCCAGAGCATTCCACAGTTTGATGTCTGGGAATGAGGGCCTCTGGCTGAGCATGGATCTGAAAGATTGTCCAACTAGACAGGGCTGGGATGATGTGTGGTATATGGTGTGTGTGCGGGAGATTCCTTTTTCTGCAGAGCTCCCAGCCCTCTGTCCACTGGTCCTGGCCCCGTCTCATTCTGGATGCCGCACCCTGCAGTTCCTTTCTGAGCCAGGCCCAGGCCTGGAGCTAAGCTCCCCTTGTTTTGGCCCCCTGGACCCTGCCAGTCCAGGCACCCCTTGTTTCCCAGATGGGGGGTGTGTGTGGGTCTCCCCAGTGTGTCCCTAGCAGGGGGCATGTCACTGTCCACTCCTGCCTCCTTCTCCTTCTTGACCCTGAAGTCTGAGGTTGGCAGCTGTGTGCCTTGTTCATGTCTCTAGAACCTTCCATAGAGCATATGGGGTGCAATGTTGCAGGCCAGCCCTGCTCTCTGCGAGTAGCCCAGAGGAGAGCTGTTCTTAGTGGCTGTTCTTCACAGAGCTGCTCACTCCTGTTCTCTGGCGGAGCTGAGAACACAACGGCTTTCACCTCCATATGCTTCCAGCGTGGAGGGTGGATCACATTGGCATCCTAATGCAATAACAGTGTGTTGGAGATGAGGCCAGGTTATGGTACCTATTGGCATATGTGTGGCTCAGGTCTGGGGTCAGGCCAGGCTGGGTCAGTTCATAATACCCATTGGCAGATCCAAGAACCAGGACAGGGTGCTGGACAGGACAGGTCGGGCTGCAACACCAGCCAGTTCACATTAGGGCTGGTACTGGGGACTGACTGGGTGGGACTAGGCTGAAGCACCCACCAGCATGAGCTGAAACCTGGTGCAGACCAAGCTGGGCCAGGCTATAGTACCTGCTGGCATATCCCAGGGTGAGGTGGGTCATGCCAGGTTGTGCCACAGCTTCCATCAGCACACAGGAGACCCAAGGGGAGGGGTGTGAACCCAGTAGGGGGGCTGCAGGGAGCTCTCCTGCTGGACCACTGCTCCCACTGGTGAGCATGAGAACCAGGGCTGGGAGCAGACCTGGCTAGACCTGCCAGCATGAGTGTGGGCTGGATGGTGGGGTCGGTTGGGTTTAGCTAGGCTTCAATGCCCATTGACGTGCATAAGAACTGAATGGGATGTGAGACAGACAGACTGGACCAGTCTGCTGCACATACTGGCAAGCCCAGGAACCGGGGCTGGAAACGGATCTAGTGGGGTTATTGGGGGTTGCTCTGACTAGGCTGTAGTTCCCATTGGTATGTGTGAGGGCCGAGTGTGTGGTGGACAGGGTTGGGCTGTGTTGCAACATCCATTGGTTTACGTAAGAGACAGGGCTGGAGATAAAACTGACCGAGCAATTGCAACTGCCAGTGTGTGCGTAGGCTGATGTGGATGAAGGATTGAGCCAGACCCCATACTGGTAAGCACACACACAACTCAGGTCTGGGATCACCTCAGATGAGGTTTCTTTGGGGATCCTCCTGACTAAACCACTGGACTCAGAACTCCAACCATGGGGAGAATTTAGGATCTTATGGACTGACCTTGGAGTGCATGTATCAGAACTGGGCCTCCTCAATGGCTTAGACGGAGTGGTGGACATCATACCCTGGTGCCATAACAGAGGAAGGACAGAATAAATGGGACGACTACCCTAGCCAAGTGTTGGCAGCAAATAGCTGGGTGAATGGAGACTCTAAGGTGGACTATGTCAGCCAATGGACCTTGGAAGGATTTCCTTACCTTTGGGTCGGCGAGATCGACAGCACTTCAGAACTACTA